CATTTGGAAGAGTCTATCTGTCACCATTCATCATACTTGGTAGTTGAGGCTCCATCAAGGGTCTATCTACCTCATCCTTTATCTGAAGCTTTATCCACACTTAGTCAGCAACTCTTGCTTAGTCATCCTCCTACTCCTGTGTAACTCATCATTGACTTGCACCAGGAGCATGTTCTATTGAAACTCATCACTCTAGTTGGCATCCCCCAAGGTGTTCTTCAATGAACTTTTCTGCAGACTCCCTTTCTGAGGGGGAGAGTGGATATGCTTTAGCCACCTTGGGGACAAAGTCCTCAACAAGGTTTATGGCATCATCATAAGGTCAGGATGGAGGTAGTACTCCATCAGAGGGTTTCTTGAAGATGGAGGCAAACTCTTTATAATCCTCAGGGAGGACTGCCTTCAGTTTCTTCTTCACCTCTTCCTGTACTAGTTCTGTGGCAGTGGTGATCTTCCTAAGAAGACTGTTCTTTGGATTGGTCTTCTTGGCTTCCTTGACAAGTTTTCTGAGTGCCATTACAAAATGAGCACATATCACTTTGTCTTTGGGTTCTTCATAGTCCATGAACTTGTTTATCCCTTTCTTTTCAATGGGAGAAACAAGGTTTACAACAGGTTCTTCAACAGCAACAGAAGTGATGCTGCAGGACAGATCTTTTGATCTATCAGTCTTTTCATCAATGGAGAGAGTTCCCATTCTCCAGTTGACAATGGGGTTGTTTTCTTGTAGCCAAGGGAGGCCAAGAATCACATTGTCCAATCCACAGTCAATGACATGGAAGGACTGATGAATGAGTCCTTTGACTTTGAAATAGAGAGTGGCAGAAAACAAGATTTTTCCCTTGGAATTCTGAGAGCCATCTGCATTTTTTGCAAGGATGGGTTCAGAGAGTCATTGAGTAGGGATTCTATGCTTTCACACAAAACCCCAATTGATGCAAGATATCTCTGCACCAGAGTCAACCAGTGTGGTGGTGTTGACAACTTGTCCAATCCTTTCTGATGCATAAATGGAAATGGGGATTTGCATAGTATGATCTGGAGTAGAAGATACTAGTACAGGTGCAACAGAAACAGGACTGTCCTTTTGACTGGGAACATCTGGCATCAATGCAGAGTTCCCTTCTAAAAATCCTTTTCTAATGCCCTAGCAATGTTGACTAAGGTGATGGAGGGTCCAGCAGCTTTTTCTTCATCATTGCTTTCTTCAACCTCCACAATCTTCCTGATCTTCTTGACCTTCTTCTGGGGGGTCTTCCCTTTGTCTGGACATTCTCAAGAGAGATGTCCTTTGTTTCCACAACTGAAACATCTTCCTTCTTTGATGTGATGGTCTCTTTCTTCTTTGGAGAGTCTCACTCCATCCACATCCATGGCATTTGGATCTTTTTCTTCAGAGAGGTTGTTCTTGGGGTAGAATATCCTCTTTTCTTTCTTTCCAGAAAGCTCATTTATTTTCCTCCACTTAGCATCAAACTTCTGTGCATGTTTGTACCAATCACTGATTGTTGTAGGGGTGGTCTCCATCATGTGGATGCAGTTTTCAATGAACAGCTTGAGTCCTTGAGAGAAGAACTCAGTCAAGGTGATATCCTAGGTGGTGGTGGAGTCAGCAGTGGCAGTATGGAAGTCAGTGATGTATTGTTCAACTGACTCTTTCTGTTTGAGGGTGTGCAAGTTGGCAATTGCAATACCAGCAGAGTCAGGGGAGGTAAACAAGGCTTTGAAATCTTTGACAAAGTCAGCAAAAGTGCCAAAACTGAGTGGGTTCTTTTCCAGAGATGTTTTCTGGAAGGTTGCTGCCCAAGAGCAAGCAACCCCTTTCTTCATGTACAACAAGGCATACACAACTCATTTAGTGTCCAAGTCATAGACTTCTTTGTTGACCATGAGGTATGTCTGGACTGAAAACAGCCAGCTCATGGCATTCTTCTGGTCACCATCAAAATCAGATGGGGCACCAATCTTCAATTTGGGGGCTTTGATGGCAGTAGTGCCAGTTGTTGCCTTTGATGATGAACTGGACATTGTGTTCTGGGGTGGGGGTGGGGGTGTAGGAAGTGTTGTGGTAGGTACTGGTGGGATGGGAGTACCAAGCAAAGCAAGGGACTGATTGAAAAGGTTCAAGAGGATACCTGAGGTAAAGCCTCTATCCAGTTGTTTGGGTTCATTGGAGGAGGTGTCAGTGACAGTGCTCTCCTGTTCCTTGTCAGATAACAATTCTTCTCATGTGGGTCACAACAGCACCCAATGTCAGTTGTTTCAGGGGTTCATGGTGGTACACTAGACAGTGACCATTGGCCCATAGGCTGTGGAGACTTGAGCTTTTGTTACACTGAGACTGAAGTCAAGGTGTAGGTTGAGCTCAGTCACAGACTATGGTTTCTACCTAGCAAATGGCTAAGGTAACCTCTGTAAATGACAGAGGATTTGGAAATGATGGTAAGAATGGTCCTGGTTAGGGACACTGAGGGCAAAGTTCTGAGGAATGCTGCATATGATTGAGCAGCTCAAGTCTGGGGTTCCTAGACTTGAGCTGGCAGTCTAAATACTACAAGGCAAATGGACCATGGGACATCCACATGTAACAAGGTAACTACACCATTGGTTGAACAATGATAACACATGTCCTAAGCATGTCACAAGGTACTAATGCTAGTGGTGGAAATAGAGGGCTCTTGGATCAGAGGGAAGACAGACTGAAAAGGAAAATGAGTCCAACAGACAGAAACAAGGCAAGCATAAGGTAAAAACAGGGGTGAAACATAACAGCTGCCTTGTGGCCTTTGCATATACACAGGTTTCACAGAAGGTGGGCTCATCTTTTGACAAGTCAAATTTCAGACCTGACACAAGTCCCTTTTCAGCTAAGCAGTGAGCAGCAGTCAGAGATATGTGACTCATCCTTCAGTGGAGCTCCATGACAGTAATCATTTCAGTCATAGAGTTTGCTTCATCACAATCATCATTGTGAATGACACAATAGATGACTGGCTTTGGACTTGGGGACATGTCCAACAATGTCATCAGTGGGGTTCCTGATGATGCAGGTGCCTTCAGCAAAGGTGATGGAGTACCCTAGCTGATCAAGATGGCCAATGGACATGAGAGTGTATCCTACCTCAGGTGAGTATAGCACCTTCATAAGTCTCAATTTAGTTATGTCATACCCATTTGGTACTTCTATAACCAACTCTCCCATAGCTGTGGCATTAAATAGTTGTTTGTTCACAGCTGAGAACAACTTAGGTGGTATGCTTGTCAGGGTCTCAAATCTCTCCTTGTAGGGGGAGATGTGGCAAGTGGATCCAGAATTGTAGAGTTTGATGACACACACACTCATAGGGCTGTCATTTACAAGGTTCACAGGCTCTGGGGAGGTTTCAGTGGGCTCATCAGGACTGGAGCCATTTCTGCAAGGTGAGTCCTTGCCATCCATTTCCTCCACCTTGCTGAACCATTCCTTGTTGCAGGCAGTAAAGCATTGCCAATATTCTTCATCATCATCCAAGGATACACTTAATAGATCAGGGAGTGTCATCTCATCACCTAGTTTGTCCAAGGTGTGGGCCAAGAAGGCACCCTCTTCATCAGAATCAAGCATTACAGCATGAGCAGACCCATTTGTAGCAGCAGATGAAGCTTCTTTCTTTTTATCAGGATCAGGACATTGAGACTTATAGTGCTCCCTTGACCCACAGTTCCAGCAGGGTCCACACTGGCAAGCATGCCCTCTGGAGCCTCCTCCTCAACCTCTCCAATCCCTCATCCTTGACTAGAGGAGTTCCCAGGGGTCATGGCCAAGGCTACATTGCCTTCATGGGTCCTTTGCTTAGGACATGTGTGCCATGTCTCCTTGGGTCTTTGTCTTTCTGATTCCTCAATAATAAGGGAGATGAGAATATCAGGGTTGATAGTTTGGGTTGGGCTGTACAAATGAGCAGTTGTGAGCTGGCCAGATGCAAAGCTGTCAAGGTATTTGGGTAAAGATTGGATGATGGTTGATTGATAGTCCTTTTCTTTGATCTGTACACCAATGGCAGCTAACTTGTCTCTCTTTGTATGCAGATTGTCCAAGAATTGGCAGGGCATTGCATGCCTAGAAACTTCATTCACAGATCTGTTTGAGCATAAGCTCCCTTTTCAGTGTACTCACAAATGATCTCATTCCACATGGCTGCAATGCTGCTAAGGCTACACACCCAAAGGGCAGTGGAATTGGGGATCCATTGAGTAAATAAGTGTTTTGCCATATTTTCACTTTTCTGCCATTTAGCAAGTTCATCAGCATCAGGAGGGACTATGGTCACAAATCCATCTTGATCAGTGGAGGTCATACCAGCAGGGCAAGGAGAGGTTCCATTGAAATGGGACCATAGCTCCTTAGCTTCAATGGCAGTCTGGAAGCAAAGGGAGAAGATTGCCCAGTTCATGCCTTTGATGTCAAGCTTTTAGACATTGCCTGGGAGTGTGTTGGTGGTGATGGGGATAGTGGTGGTCATCAAGGGGAGATGAGGGTCAATTGGCAGCAAGAATATCAAAACAATGGTGAGACATCATACAGGCTATTGGAGCTTGGGGCTCATAACCTGACAAGAATCTAAGCAGATAACTCAGTCACACACAGACAGTGACAATGTCTAATATATTCACCTAAGCAGATAACTAGGTGTGCAGTAAGTATGGTAAAGTAAATGAGAAAGTATTGCACTCACCTCAGTCATGCACAGACAGCAACAATGTCTGAGGTGATGGAGTTTACAGTGCTAGACTAAATACTGTAGTTGTAACAAAAGATATGAGACAATGGGTGTTGAACCTGTCTACACATAATAAGGATTGTCTCAATGTGAGATGCATTGTGGCCTTCATGAATAACAAGAAAGATGTGAACATAAGTGCAAGACACTATAGATATAATAAGCATAAGGGCATGGAAAGTTAATTGCACATTCAGTAATAAGTGTGAAAAGGCTTAAGGCGGAAAGTGGTTCTCACGACTCGGAGTGGATGCATTCGGAACAGACTACATACAACTTGCCAAATCTAACATACTGTGATATGACAATGCTGTAGAACTGGGACTCTCTGGGGACTAGGCTGGGGTACTATAAGGTATTGTGGCAGCATAACAAAATATGTGGCAGGCTGTCACACTCTGGCAGTTCTTGGGGGGAGGTTCTGATGCCTAAATGACCTACTGACCTTAGCTGCAACAGCCCTAAAATACTTCAGTTCCAAGCTACTTATATCAGACCAAGAAGATCTGAAAAATATACAACAAGTACATAAAGCTGCATAGTCACCCAGAAAGATTTCATGACCATTTTGTGCACAGTGCTCATAGGACACTAACACTTCCCATATAGCTGTCCGAGATGGAGATATCGTACCACGAAGAGAAGCAGAACCGAAAACATGACGATGCCACCTGCAACAGTCAACAAAACATTACACGCTGAGCATTGATGTGCGCCAAAAAACAATAGCAAAGAAAAACAGAGAGCGAACGAAATGGCAACGAGGAAAACAACAGAAAAGGGACCCACCTGCGTAGAACCCTGGATCTTTAAAACCTCCAGTCCGAGCATTGATCGCGCCTGAAATTGGCGTCCCTGCCAACGTACCAAGTGCTGCAATGGTCACATACATCCCCACGCGTCGCCCCACATCATCCACATTGCCCATTGCCATAGGTGGCGCGACAACGAGGGAGACATATGTTCCGGAAGCAAAGCTGCAGCGATGCGTGCGTTAAGAACGACGTGATGTGTTCTGGAAGGGGAACGTACCCGTATGTCAGCGATATGGCAATTAGTTCCCCTTGGTTGGAAGCGTATGGCCAAGCGAAGGTGAGAATACCGGCCAGAGCTGTAAATGGCATCATGACATTGAGAGGACCTGCACTCCATATTGGTCAGGTTTAGATTGCAAAGAAGTACGTAGTACTTGCCAATGTGATCGGCGAGCAAGCCGGCAGACAACCGGCCGAACCCGGATGCCGCATTCGCGATCGCGACCAGGTAGAATGAAAAGTTGCTCGACACGCCTACCGCGTTAGCACTGACAGGTAAATAAGTCAACGCTGTAAATGAAATGAGCTAGTCACGATTATCTTGCACCCATGCACCCCTGCGAGTCTGAAGGTATGGAAATAGGTATGACTCACCAGTATATAGTCCGAGAGAGCAAGCAACCCCAGAAATGCAATAGATGGAGTACGCTGGGTTTCGAAACGCGGCTAAGTTTAGGAGTCCACCCTGGACGTTCACAGGAGGTAGTCGTCTATCTATGGTCTAGGTTTCTCGCGTCAGCGAGGCAGCAGGAACAACTCAATAAGCGTATCTCATTCACAAGATTGGCAATCCCGAGGGCAATAAGCATCATGAGTCCGAACGTGCGAATAGTCCACTTGAACCTGAGAATTACTATTAACCAAACACATCCCCCGATGAGATGAAATGAAAACACACCCTACAAGGGGTATAAGGTTTTGTCCTGCGATGGGGAACAATACTCCCCCCAGCGAAGAGCCAATAGATACGATGCCAAGGGCCCTCCCTTTGTTCTTGGAAAACCAATGAGATACGACGCTAAGAGCTGGTATGTAAATGATCCCACTGAACAACTGTCAACGGAGTTTATGAAGCTGATTATCGATGGCCTTGTAGAATGTGAAGAACTCACACCCGTGAAGAGGCCTTGTACGAGAAAAAACTGCCAATATTGCTTGCACTCTGCTGTGAGGAAGGTGCACACCACAAGCCCGCAACTAGCGATGAAACATGGAATCTTAAAATGTCCCAGATCGAAAAGCCGACCTGTTAAAAGTCCAGGAAGAAACATGATTGTGATCTAGGATGACCGCGATGGGAAGAATGAGGTGAGCAGTGAGGACGTTGAGCTTAAGCGAAACTGGACCCGCCTGTACCGATCCTATCCATGCTCTGGGCACAAATTCAGCTGGCGCGATGAAGAGATCGATACAAAAGGTGGCCTCACATAGCAGATGGACTTTCGTTGGGTAGAAGAACCCGCTCGTAATAATCTTGAAAGATCTGCGATCTGATAAGTAATAAGGCGGTAGATGACCGACAGGATGACTCACGCCCCACGTACTATTGACGTACCCCAAGCTGAGTGCGGCCTGAGTACCGTATACGACGGAAGACGACGATAATCATTTGGAGAGTGTACTTACGTGCACATCGTCGTCAGCATCGACCTACATACATATCCGCATCGATCAAGGCAAAGAATACAATAGAGCACGACAAAGAACACACGCCATGATAACCGACCAAGCTTTGAGCCCGCCATCAGGGGTCTCGCCAGCATATTTAGCATAGTTGACAGTACTGCCTTTAAATCTTCTCTCGTGTAGCTTCTGATCGTCCCGGAAGGTATCGGGCGGAGAATCGAGGGTCTTCTCATCTAACATCATCGCGTTCGCTCGACCGGATTCACTGAGGGCACAACAGACTGAAGAGGAGAAAGCTATGGGGGCTAGTTGCTAGAGTGGACACTTCCACATCCCTACCAGACGAATTTATAGAAGCGAATGATGTATTCCCAATTGCAATTGCCTGGCGGTGTCGAGCACGTGAGATTCTCTCCGGAGTGGTGGCGATTGGATTATCCAGTAGATGAAGTAGGGTGGCGACCATCATGGATCCGCTCCTCGGAGGTCAGCTGTCGGCTATACAGATAGCTGGCAGAAGGATGAACCCCCCTTAGTCATGTCGAGAACCAACGTTTCTTGCCTTACCTTGGAATGACCTTGTTCGCTGATGGAAGCACTTCAAGGCATTCAATGCACCCAATCGGCCGATCGCTTTTCGTACCCCGCTGCAGCGGAATCCCGATGCGACTTGATCAGGAGGAAAGTGAAATAAATTACTAGAATGTGTGTAGTTCGAGGGCAAACCTTCTTGCTTTCAACGAGAGAACTTTGCTTGGGTAGTAATACTAAACAATAATCACCATTTAACGATAATTTGGACGGGACGTTTAGCCTGGTCAGGTCTTGCAATGCCAACCGAAGGAGCTCTGGGACTGATGTCGCGTAGATGTGATTTCATGAGCAGTTTACAGTGGATCCGGCGGGTTGCAAGGAATAAGCATCGATACTGAAGATGACAACGCTGGCCAGTCCACCTGCGAGTTTTGTTTCTGAAAGGCCGAGTTCCCGTGCAGAGGGAATATGTTCTCATGTCGCACACGTCGTACCTCAACGAACCCGTAGATCGTCCTACCAAAATCTCCCCCCGCTACCAGCGGCGTATCGGAAAATGACACCGCTGAGTGTACTTTCGTTCGCGGGGAAGTTGAGTAGCAAATTCCACCGAAGATTTCCCGAATCTGGAGGTCAAACAACGCGGCACTCCGGCATTCACAATCCAGACTACTCGAAGAGAAGGTGGCACCCCAGACACCCCTTCGATAAAGGCGGTTCGTATTAGAACAGTGGTCCTATACCTTCAGGTGGTAGCAGCGGTTTGATTACCACACAAATCCGGGACGAACGCACCACAGAAACGATGTTTGACAAACCCCAGCAGTGTACTGATGGCACTCATTCACTTCAACTCGCCTCCTCCTCCGCATCCTCGCTAGGTTCGATATCTCGTACCTTTTTTCCTCTCCCCTTCGTTGCTCGTGTTCGTTCTCCTTTCCCCTTTGCCTGACTACCACCCATCTGTTTAGGCCGCTGCCACCGCCGCACGCACTTCCTCCATCAGCGTTTTCACCATCCCCCCATCTCCTTCCCGATCCACAATACCATTAACCCGATCAACGGTGCTGGCCGCAGTGGTGCCTGCCTGGACCTCTGCCATCCTATACAACACGCTAATCTCCGCAGCCCACACGCCATCTGGGCCCATGTCCGTGCCGTACGTTGGCGTTTCGAGGATGAGGGGAAGATCACGCATACGGGGATCGGTGAGTACAGCCCGGAATGTGAGAGAAAGGGGGCCACTTTCGGTAGAATTAGTAGCGTGTACTTAGGTGTTATGGAGAAACAAAGGACAACGTACAGCCCAATATTTTCATGTCTGTCTTTTTTGGACCCAAGAGTTGTACGTGCATCGTTGAGATGCAGACCCCGAAGGTAGGAGAGTCCCACTACATTATCGTACTCGGATACTGTAATTCATGATACGAGTGCAACCACCAACCACGTGTGAACTCACTCGTCGTGCTGCATGGGAGAAGACGGGTTAATTAGCAAGCGGTGAGACAAATGTTGGTGAGAAAAACAGACGTACTCCCACCCCGCCTGCGTGGAGATGTCATAGCCCTATTGTGAAAACATTAACACGTACGCGATCTCTATAGTCCAGTGCACATACAGCAGCATACAAATGGCCTAGGCATGTCCGTCAGGATTCGAAACTACCCACTAAAATGCGCGCTTACACGTGTCGAGACATACTCCAACCCGGTCCTTGTTTTCGACGCAATCGATGATACCCCGTAACTCTGAAAACTTAGAACCTATGACGTTCCCTGCGCCTGCCTGCATCGTAGAATGGGTTAACCGTAGAATAATATACTGACACGCAAACGATGTGGATACTTGCCATGTTCTCGATGACGATGGTGAGCCCTAGTAGTGGCCTTATGTGCTCGATTTATACATTCCGCAATCAGTGCAATGGAGTGTTCCTTCGTGGTTCGGCCAACTGTTGAACCTGGGCTAGGTACACAAGTACGAGTGAGTATGAGGGGAGTACGAAACGAGGAATCGGACTCGCTGGAAATTGTAAAACTCGAGTCCCAGCTGTTCACATCGTTGTATTTCATCTAGGAAACACTCGTAAGACTTCTCCCGTTTTTCACTACCGACGTCTATCGTGAGCTCCCCTGTTCGATCCGAAGCAGAGACGACCAAAAACACGCACTCGTCGGGATTACCGAGATTCATGAGGTAGCTTCCATGCACGAGTACGTGAGCAGGTGAATACCCGAACTCAGTCATGCGAGCTTTGAAGGTGGAGATGTTGGATTCGGTAAGAGGTGGGGCTGCCCATTTACGCTGCGATTTGACGAAGAGGGCGAACGCATTGGCACTGTGGCATGGTAACAGGCATAAATGTAAATGCAAGAATGTGGCATAACGGGTGAACTGAGGACGGGGGACATACCCGATACGAGCAGCGTTGAGGACGGCATTTTCGACACCTCCTGCAGCAGATACGTGTGGACCGACTTTCCATGGGCTGCATACACGCGTAGGGAAAACTTCTGTAGGTCACGCCCGTATCGGCCTGGTCTCGTCGTCCGTCGTCGCTTGGTAGGTGGCGGTTCAACGCTGGCCCGTCCAGGTTCGCGTTTGGTGGATGATTTTGTAGACCGCTTCGGAACTTGGGCGTCATGGTCGTTTGAAGTGGATTTGAACTGGGCTGCTGCGGCTACTCGTGTCTCCCGACGTGCTTGCACCATGTCTGGTCGACGTACAGCGATAACGCCGACACTAGTTCTGAGAGTCAATGAAAATGGCAGATGCGCTGAGTATTTGAGTGTGAGCAGCATTCCAAGTTTGACGTCATATTTGTTTGAGATGGCCCTCATCACGATATCTGGCTATCCATCCTCTGGAAAATCACAGCGGGCAGCTCAGATCAAACGACACTTCGAAGCTCGGCTGGCAGACCCATCTTATACGGGACCATCGCTGTCCATCGTTGTCCTCGACGACGACACTCTCAACATCGACCGGTCTTCTTACAATGGTATGTACTCTGATGCCCATTTATCGAATAGAAGATGAATGGGGATTCCATGTACCAGATTCGAAATCGGAAAAACCAGCTCGCGGAACGCTCTTCACAGCTGTCCAGCGCAACCTGGCTCAGAACAAGGTTGTCATTGTCGATTCGTTGAACTACATCAAGGGATTCCGGTATCAGATGTATTGTGCTGCGAGGGAGATCAAAGTCCGCGTCTGTACGGTGAGTGTCTAATGCATCCTCGTTCCATGTGTTCCTGGGGCTGACCGGGGTAGGTGTAGGTGTACGTGCTCGCTACGCCCGATCTTTGCAAGCAATGGAACAGCGAGCGCACGGATGGAAAAGCATATGCCCCAGAGACGTGCGTCATTGACTTCCTGCGCACATTACACGCTCACTCACTCACGTCACTAGCCTCGCGAACTTGCTGCAGCGCTATGAAGAGCCCTCTTCGATGGTTCGATGGGACTCCCCTCTCTTTACTGTGTCGTGGTCAGATGAAGATGTACCAGCAGACGACATTTGGAGAGCGATAACCGAAGGAGTAGTGAAACCTCCCAACACGGGAACACAAGCTGTCGGTCTGCCATCACGCAGTACACAGTCCTCCATTCTAATACTTCTCTGTCACAGGTGGCAAAAGCGCCGACTGACGCCCTGCGTACGCTCGAGCACACCACTGCCTCGGTCGTCTCTGCCCTCGTCTCCGAACAGGCCAACTCTGGCTCACTCGGCAGCACGACCACCATCACTCTCTCCCCTATACTGAAAGTCCGCATAACCCTTCCCCCACGTAATGTGACACTGTCAGAGCTGCAGAGGTTGAAGAGACAGTTTGTGACGTTGCATAAGAAGGCGATTACGCTAGGTACAACAGAGAAAGGTGCGGTGGATTGGAGTGAGCAGAGCGTTGCAGACAAGTTTGTTGTGTATCTCGAAGAGAATATGAAGCCTTGAGTTGGCGATTCTTTTTTTTTGGGGGGGAAGCGGTAACAGTTAGAAGTCTAGTCCTACAACATGATCGCTATATCGGAGGTCTGAAAGAACTATCCGGTCTGAGGATGCGTCGAGGACAGGGGTATGTAGGACTTGGCAGTGAGCCAACCAGTGGGGCACCCGGAATAGGATGCCCGATAGACGTGATACCCACAGCTAGTTTGCAAGAAATCTGGCAGGAAGGGACCGTCGTATTGGCTACCGCTCTATTCCAATCAATGCTGACTAATGCACCCCCTATCCCTTGCCTCCTGGCCACACCACCACACTTCCCCGTTACATCATGCAATGGCCCGTAGCGTAGAACAAGATGCATGTTGTGCGCTGGTACGTTTGGATGCGGGTTCTTGAGGGTGTCCAACGAAGTACACGCGTTGTGGTTACCTGATGCGATTCAGCGCGGGGGTTACAACTGGTCTGAGCAACGCCGCTCAAACCTCTGATACCCACTGGCCATGTCCTGTGTGGTGCGTGGGAACGAGTCCGCAGCCCTTCTTCCAAGGACCCAGAGACGCCCGTGCCCCTGACGACACCATGATACCACGACGAGGACGGGCACTTCTCGTGCACGCCCTGTCCATCTCTGTGATGGCCCATGGACTCTTGTTCACTCGCATGGGCCCAACCTCTGCCAGAGCATATCACCGGAAAGCCCCCATCCCATTGTACCTCACCATCCAAGCGTACGCATGCGTGCAGTTGTCACCGGGCTCACCCTCACATTCTCCGCGAATAGACTGATAGGTTCCTGGGCGTGTATGACGCTCAGTCTCATTCAGGATGTATTTCCAGGTACACGCCGATGTGCGTCCTTGGATCTGCGTGCGTTGGCTGGCTTCGTCATGGCTAACCTCTGGTTCGCAGACTTGCACCCACTGAAAAGAGCGCTATCAATGGTATTCCTACCGGTATGCCGACGTCGACTCTCCGCCTTACAAGCACTCATGTGACGCTCGCAGTTGGGCTTCGTCGTCTCGGGCGTCTACTGGTCCCTCCGCATATTCGCCCCCTCACTCATCCTCCCCGCTAAGATATCCTCCCCAACGTCGTCCTTGCCAGTAGAGGGTCTCATGAAATTGCCCTTCCTCACAGACCTCACAATGCACCTTGCACCCTTGCTCTCCCTTCTCACTGACTTTCTATTTTTCGACTCCAGGTTTTCGACTAGGCAGATGACCATCGCGCCGCTTGTGATGATTCCATATGCGATGGGGTATGCAGGAGCGCTCGAGTATTTGGCAATGCAGAACGGCTCTTGTAGGTGTTTCAGTCCTTTACCATCACCTTTCACTCCTCCGCTTTGCCTTCCTTCGCGTTTGTTTCCTTTCTCCTCGTGACTAATTAATCCTCTCCCAAAGTTCCATACCCGTTCCTCGATGCCAGTTCCCTTTCCACACGACTCGTGATCTACGTGGGTGCATCATACATGGGTCTGGGGTGCCTGTCATTCTTGAATTTCCTACACACGTTCCTCCATTTTGTAATAACAGTCGCGTGTGGTTTTAACGTTGCCGGGTGGATATATGGTGATGGATATTCAGATGATTGATCGTGTACATACCGAATTTCCATCTGAAGGATTGGAAGAAGTTACGATGATACAGTGTCTAACTTATGGCTGCTTCCAAAGACATCCGAGTAGATGATGACATGCCTAACACTCTTCTGTGATCACGGACCCTGGCTTACAGGATAACATACAAGAAAACACATTCCCGTGAGCCTGGCCGTCTTCGATTTGTCTTCTGAAGGGAGAGACGGGGGGGAAAAAAGACGGCGTATGTTTGCGTGAAGTGTAGGCGTTCCGTTCACTCTTCGCGAGTAAATCAGGTGGTTCAGACTGTACTAACAGGGGCACCATATAAGCCGGAGACCGTCGGGACCCCCATGATCAGTTATTAACCTAGATTTCAAGACCTACAGCAGCTCACTTATCCACACGACTCAACTGGGGGAACCTCGAAGCAAGCAAACGTGAGATCTCAACTCCCATTCCTCGGCTTTATCTGCTCATCTCGTTCATCCACTTCGTGCGTAATGTCATACGCACAAGAAGCGTCCATGCAGCAAACAGCAAGCCGAAAGGCGGCAAGAGCCAGCTCACAACCCACGTTCTACCAACTGTGTGTTCCAGCCGCTTCACGCTCAGTAGAACTTGCTCCTCCAGTTCAGAACGTGACCCAGAGTTATCGATGACAATGTCTGCGTACGCAATTTTGGAGGATATTGGTTGTTGAGAGGTGAGTCGAGCTGAGGCTTCGGCGTGAGTGGATTTGTCACGCGCCATGAGGCGTTGGAGCTGGATCTCCGGGGAACTGTACATGTGGTTTGTGTAGAAAAGAACATGAGAAAGATGCACGTCTAGCACCCACCAATACACCACGATAATGCGACCCATCCATTTCCAGAGTCCGCCCTCAATGAGAAGTGGTACGTCAACGACACACATACGTTCACCCCGTATCCAGCACCCAAGTATATTCCAGAGAATTGCGCGTGTTACAGCAGGATGCACGATGGAGTTCAACTTTCTTCGTTTAGTCTCGTCATTGAAGACAATGGAACCGAGCTTCTTGCGGTCGAGCGAGCCGTCAGGAAGGATGACATCAGGTCCAAAATACGCCGCTATCTTGGAGAGTGCACGGGTGCCGGGAGCGACGACCTCACGAGCGAGAACGTCGGCATCAATAATAGGGATACCAGAAGCGCTCAGAAGAGCAGAGACTGTCGATTTTCCAGTAGCTATGCCGCCCGTCAGGCCAACGACTATTGAAAATGTTAAGAACAGTGAATCGGTAGCGTTGAGAAGGAATACCGAGCATCGATGTTGGTGGTATGGTGTACGCGTGGGACCTTCACTGCTTTGCTAATTCATAAGTGCCATCTACTTCTGGCACTTGTGACTTGGTCGACGATCTATCGATTACGCTACACAACGCCGTTAACGTCTGGCACTAGCGCGAAGCCTCTTTCAAAAATACAGTCAGGTGTGTGATAAGCACCAAGGTTGACAGTGACAAAGTTATATCAAAATTGTCGCTCCATACATTTATCAAGCTATACGACGAGGAACTGCTGACAAGTTCACCAGGCTTAGGAGCACAATGTCAGCTCTGCCCGTCAGATCGGTACTAGTGCAGTAAGGTGAACCTGCGGTTAATGCGATGCCGTTGACCCTCAGGCTCCCCTTCTGTTCTCTCAGGATACAAGCAGCAAGTCAGATCAACGCTGGAGACTGCATTGAAAATGCTATGTAATGCAGAGGAGATCCGAGTTGGAGACCTTCGAATTCTGTGATTATTGTAAGTTCCTGGAAAATACTGAGCATCATGAACCGGCGGGGAACACTCACCCATTTCTGATCTCATGGAAACGTGTAATGTCACAGTGGATTCAGTTGGTACCTGGGATTGCGGTCACGTACCTCCAGGAGCTTGTGTAGAATGTCACGCAGGGCACAGTAGGGGGGTTTGCACGTATGAAGGACTGGGGACTTCGAAGGGCACCAATTACCAGCGAAGCCACCTCCCCATTTGCTTTGCCATTGTTGGCCATGGGCCCATGCCTACCTAGCACGTGGCAATCTCGTGTAATGGTCTTTTCCCGCAATTCTAGGGTGCTCGGTTCACACACCGACTATCACTCATACTTGGAGATGACGGAACTGACTCGCCTTATGCAGTCGAGCGAGCTACTAAAGGCGCACAACACACAATCATTCTCGCACGGCCCATTGGTGCATGCAAGGGCAGACGACGGTTCATGCATCCGGCTGTTTGACAATCCTTTCAGCAACCTTCTATGACATGACCACCATGAAAACTGCGCAGACTGTCTTCTGTTCCCCTTCCTCGCATCTGCAGTGACTATCGCCCCAGCTCCCCTTTGGCATCTTTCAAAGGGTGGGCAAGAGATGGTCCCGATTTTCTGCAGAGATAGCCCATGCAGTGCAATATCGATACTAGTCGGAAGACTGGGATCCGTGATGATACTGAAGTTTTCGACTCTGATGAGAGCGGGTCTTCGCACCAACGCCAGCAAAGCAGGGAGTAAGCCACTCTTTGATATTGTATTCCAGCGCGAGGTGAACTTTCTCTATGGGGTTAAGAACCGCCAGGAAGCAATATTCAAGTGTTTTATAGCGACATTACACAGCCCGGTCAACTCCAGTCGGGGGGGGGAACGATTGTCTTCTGTCGAGCTTTTGATTTGCCTAGGGAAGACTAGTGACCTCCCACGTGGTGGACAATTCGAGGACTGAGATCCGTTGGTCGTCAAAACGATTGTCTTCTGTCGAGTCTTTGATTTGCCCTGGGGAGCCTTGCACGGCGAATGGAGATTATGTAGGTGCACACACTGATCCTTACATGAATATTGAGCCAAGCAGGCGAGGGTCACGGCTCAAGAATTCGTCCGTCTCGGAAATGCTGGCAAAATGACTAATGTTTGCCTGCATAGTTTCACATCCTTTGATTTGGGACGTAAGTCATAAATATAATTCCATCCCCCAGTCATTCCTCTCTTGTAGGACATAGCGTCGAACATCAACGGATGATCATCACAAGTGGCTTCTGCAACCTTCTCAGTGGGTCTTTTGCGAATGGACTAGGCAAGTCGATGTCCTGCTGGATAACCTTCTCGACGAAGTTCATGTATGTCCATCGTAGTACTGCTGCGACAGGACATTCGTTTCACGTGGCCCGGGATATTTGTATCTGCACAATGACATCACTCGGAGGCCAGCGTCCGCGCACTTTGTCCCTATCTCTTCAAGTCTCTGTTGCACTTTGACATAAATATCGGGAAGTTGATGGGGACATATGCTCGCCATCAAGCTGGTCCATGACGGAACAGACGACAGAAATGCTATCTCGTAAGTCAACTGAATTGTCCAGTCAAATCCTCAGTTCGTCTCGCTGATTCCGCGATCCTATGGGCGATCTCAATAACAGACTTGGTATAATTTTCCACAGGGATGCGTGTGGCGTAGTAACCCATGTGAATTGTGAACAGGAGTGCTTTCAATTAAGCATATGTATCCCTGGAGAACGGGTTAATACGACCATTCATCGTATGACATAGCTTTGGCAGGTACTGAAGTACTGGGAACAGGCTATAATTCGAAGACCTTCTGTATCATGGGCGTGAAGTCAAGTTGTGCAGCTGTGATGTCCCTGTCACCGACAACAAGTTTAGAACCGCCACTATCCTTTCTTTTCAGCTTGAGCTTCTCCCGCACCGACGCCAATTTTAGTGCAGTTTCAATACCCAGATATCTGCCTTCCTCGACACTGATCGGATCAGGTCTCTGGGCTAATGCGAGAAGAGAAGGCAGTAGCCACTCCTTGATGTTATATTGCATGGCGAGCACAATCTTGTCAACGTGATCAAGATCCCCATTGCCGATATCCAGCCAAGATATGGCTGCTGTGCGAAGGTTTGTGAATTCCCACATCGTGGATAACTTGAGGACAGATATCCATTGGCCGGTGAGACCAAGCACTAGGCCCTTATTCTGCCCATGTTGTCTGGTGTGGAGAATTCATGATTAACATATAATAAAAAAAAACTGGACATCGAGCTTGGTTACCTGCACAATAGAGCCTTCAACAGGCATTCAAAATCGTCCTTGGAAACGTCGTGCAAGACTACTGGTCTTGCATCATCCTGGCCCTCTATCATCTCATTTACGGGTTGCGGGAGGAGAAACATGTCTCTGAAGACTGTCGACTCCTCTTCTAATGGCTTCCGTGGAACCCTGAACAAACAGTTTTCCACCTAATCGAAGGGTAAGAACGACAGAAAAGGCTCTAGTACACACAACGCATACTAGGAATGTGACTGTGGTAATGTAAAGCTCCGGATGCTTTGGATGCTTGGGAGAGGACATCGTACTGCTGGTCACTGAGACCAATGACGAGTGTTCCATCGATTTGAATGGATACACTTTCCACGTGTATTGGGCATGTTGCATGAAAGCTCCACACGCGTTTTCTGACGGTCCGATGCGATTTGATCGGCCCGCCTGTCCTCTTCAGTTTCAACTTGACCTGAGGGTCGTTAGTACGTTCTTTGTCCCGGGTAGTTGTGCGGATCACTGCTTGATTTTAGGACCCGTTGCAGAGCAGTATTGATAATGTCGTCGAGAGGAACAAATGTCCTATGTATCAGGAAGCTGGTAGAACCCATGAAGTTACAATAGTAGACTTCGCAGCTCCACATCCATGTAATCGTGAAAGGATGCACAAAAGTTCCTTGCATCAACTGACTTTACGTCACTTATCCGTATTTGTTGGAAAGCAAGATGAAGCCCAGATAATCCACATCTCATCTTCCCCCTCGTCCGTTTATCGCACAGCGCCATATGTAACAAGAGTGTGCAACAGACAACAGCCCAAAATTCCGGAGGGAAGAACCGAACTAGCAACCCTTGTTCGATCGTCAGTGTGCTCCAACTGCTTCAAGCATAGTCAGACCTAGTCTTCCAGCTCGAAATTTGACCTAGAATTACTAACGAGGATATTTGCATTGGGAGTTTTCGACGTTATCAGAAGCCCTCAATAAGAATCGGTACGTCGATGACACTTACGTTCTCCTCGCATCCGGCACCCAAGTATATTCCACAGGATCACGCGTGTTGTAACGATCCCGCAGGCGAGAATGCTGGAACCAGTAACAGGGATATAAGAAGCGCTCAGGAGGGCGGAGACCGTCGATTTACCAGTTGCTATACCGCCCGTGAGACGAAAGACCAACACGAAGGATAACAGTGCATCAATAGTACATACATATTGATAATGGACACTGAGCATCGATGCTGGTAGTATCCGTGGAACTTTCGTTTTGTTAACGTACGCACACGTGCGACTCGATCACTCCAACCTCCACTGGTACTCGAAGCATCTCTCAAAAGCCCAGCGGTTTCGAGTCAGACGCGACGTTATATCTGCATTAGTATATCAGTTTATGATACAGTCAGTGTATGGGTAGTAGCATCTGTTCGCCCAAGATCATGCAGGCAAGGACAAGTCACAGCGCATCTGTTCGACAGGATGAGCAACACTGTGGATAGTGTTGCAAACACCGTACGTAGAGGATATTTGAATTGGAGAACGTACGAGTTCCGCGATCGTGTAAGTTCCCGGAACACGCGGGTCATATCCAGCGTCATCGACCGGGGAAACACTCACCCTTTCTGGTCTACATAGAACTGTGGATGGCGCAGTGCACCCAGTTGACACTGCGCACTACCTCCATCGCTGGTATTGCGGTCAGATGATAAATCAGATGCTAAGAAGCGGGTAAACGTACATTGAACCGAGGGCCTGTGTTAGGTGTCGACCGCAGAGCACAACAGAGGCTTGCATATATACGGGATCTGCGACTTCGAACAACTTGACTACTTACCGGTGAAGCTCCGCTCTCCTTGCATTCCACCACCCAAGTCGTTTCTCTCATGTCCGATAGCACCGTTTCAAATAATACTAGCTACTCAAAGCCCTTGGAATTTTATACTCACACAGTCACCTTCCTCGTATGTCTCATTTCTGCCTTCTGTTCTTGTCTTCCAAAACACCCCTCTGTTAGGTGGAGGATTGTCCATTCCGGACTCCCAGGGAGCCGTTAGAGGCTGAGTCCACTGTCTTCAGGGACACGTTTCTACTCCCCCAAGGTGAATCAAAGAGAGTTTACGGTCGGAGTCCCGTTGTCCTGCGGGGCGTTTCCAAGAAGGAATTTGAAAGCTTACTACGGGCCCTCATGTACAGGTCAGTGTGCGTGCCAAGTCTCCATCTGCATTTGACACTTGCTCCTTTGCGTGCAGACGACATGGAACAAACAAGGGCTCGGATTTGGACTACGACCAATGGATGTCAGTCCTCAAGTTATCGACGACGTGGGAGTTCACTGGGTTGCGTAACGCCGCCATCGAATACTTGGATTGTCCTCTCCGGCCTCTTGACCCCATAACCAAAGTGGAATTGGCTTTACAATACAATATCCAAGAGTGGTTACTCTCGGCTCTGCTGGTGCTCGCGCGAAGATCCGCTCCGATCAGCATAGAGGAAGGGCGTCGTATTGGTTTCGAAAACGCACTGAAGTTGGCTTCGGTGAGGGAGAAACTTCGGCTGGAGACGGCCGTGGAAGAATTCCCATACATCTACCACGACGGTGGCTCGACTCGGCATGCCATTCATCAATGCAACATTGGATACGTTGCCCTCGGTGATAGGGACAAAGACGCTGAAAACCTTGACTACACTCCATTTATACGCAAAGTTTTCGGTCTATAGTCAGTTGGATATGACGTATACTAGCTATGTGGTGTGGATGTACATATGTAACGTGGTCCCTCGTCAATATTTCTACCCCCAGCACACGGTACCGAATTCCAGGGGCCCAGTCACAGTGTGCGAAAAACTGCTAGCCTCCTTCACCTAGCTGTGCCTATTTAGGCACAAGAAATATGCTGAGAATGGCGAGGAGACACGTTCCATTGCCCGTGAGTGTGATCTAGTATGAATACAGCTGCTGAGTGTCAAGTTGGTCAACCGTACTCCCAGATCAAACCACAGTCTCGCCGGTAGACTATCCTATACAGGACCAGTGCGCCGTTGTCCTTTCCAACAACATTGACTGGTTGTCTTACAATGGTACGCCGCGACTGGAGATGACATACACCGAAAAGACAATGAAGGGGAAGTCGTACACCGCGGGAAAACCAACTCGCGGAGCGCTCTTCACGGTTGTCCAACGCAACCTGGCTCAGAACAAGACTGACATCGTTGATTCGTTGAACTATATGGGGAGATTTCATTGGATGTATCGCGCTGCGACGGAGATCAACGATCGGGTCTGTATGGTGAGCGTCCAATGCATCCTCATTCCATGTTCTACTGCGGCTGACTGGGGTAGGCTTGGGTGTATTGCTCGCTACTCTCGATCTATGCAAGCAATGCAACAGCGAACGCACGGATGGCAATGCACATGCACATGCCCCCAGCGACATGCGCCATCGACCTCTTCCACATTATGTACAAGCTAACTTCACGTTACTTGCCTTGCGAATCTGGTACAACGCTATAAAGATCCCTCTTCGATGGTCCGATGGGACTATTATGTAGTGTGTGCAGTATGGTGAAAGACAGACAGCTTGTGTTCCCGTGTTGGGCCTTCAGTTATCACTCTCCAGATGCCGTCTGCTGGTCTGTCCTCATCTGTCCATGACACGGTAATGAGGGGACCTCCATTCTAACATCGCTCTACTACGGGTGGCAAAAGCCCCAACTGACGCCCTGCGTAAGCTCGAATACACAACCACTTTGATTGTCACCGCCCTCATCTCTGAACTGGCCACCTCTGGGTCTCCTGGCGGCATGACCACCATCGCTCTACCCTCCGGCGGAAAGTCCGTATAAGCCTTACCCCGCATAATGTGACACTGTCGGAGCTGCGGAGGCTGAAGAGACAGTTTGTGACGTTGCACAAGAAGGTGATTACGATGGAGAAGGGAGCGGTAGGTTGGAGTGCAGATCATTGCAGACAAATTTGTTGTGTATCTCGAGGAGAGTATTGGTGTTTCTTCTTCCGATGAGATGTCGGTGAATCAGATGACACCATGTCACGACGAGGACAGGTATTGTAGCACAATACGAAACAACTTTATCGTGCAGTTTGCGGTACCTGTATATATGATTAAATGAGGTTAGGGAATATGGAACAAGGCTGTCACAGATGGCAATCACCTTGTTCACCGTTCAAACATGTTGTTTCACATATGTACCGAAGCCCTACAGCTATAGCTCGAAGACCTTCTGTAGAAGCTCAGAACCCCCCTTGGCGTCATACCCATACACGCTCTCCAGCTTCAGTTGCTCTCGCACTGATGCCAACTTCAATGCAGTTTCAATACCTAGACGTGTGCCTTCCTCAACACTGATCGGATCAGGTCTCTGGGCCAACGCGAAAAGAGAAGGCAGTAGCCATTGCTTGATGCCATATTGCGTGGCAAGCACAATTTTTTCAACGTGGTCAAGAGTCGCATCGTTATCCAGCCAACACATGGCTGTCATGCGAAGGTTTGTAAATTCCCACATCGTGGACAACTTGAGGACAGATATCCATTGTCTGGTGAGGCTAAGTGGTAGGTCCAAATTTGGCCCAAACGCTCTGGTGTGGATAACTCATGGTCAGCATGCCATACACCAAGCTGAAAACCGGACATGGAGCTAGCTACCTGCATAATAGAACTTTCAACAGGCATTCAAAATCATCCTTGGAAACACCGTGCAAGACTACTGGTCCAGCATCATCCTGGCCCTCCATCATCTCATTTTCGGATTGCGGGAGAAGAAACATGTCTCTGAAGACTGTCGATTCCTCTTCTAATGGCTTCCGAGGAACCTTAAACAAACAATTTTCCGCCTAATTGAAGGGTGAGAATGACACAAGGGCTCTACGAGAGACACATACTAGGAACGTGATCGTGTCCATGTAAAGCTCTGGATGCTTGGAGGGCTTAGGAGCATATGTTGTTCTACTGGCCATGAGATTAACGGTGAGTGGCCCATCGCAGACGTACCCTTTTAGATATTGACTTGAATGAAGCACTCTTTTCACGTACACATATTGAGCTAGCTTCCTTGATCCATGCAAATGCGACCGTTAAGCGTTTCCATTTTTGTCTATTAGCTACACAGGCACCCAAAAGTGGGTCGTGAGCAAATTACTAATTAGTCTCAAAAACGGGACTAAATTGTGACGTGATGACTTTTTCGACTCTACCGCGCTAGTAACTGCAGTGCATGGTTTCCAGGATATCATTGGAGGTAGTAAGTGGCGCGAACTTGCTGACCTGGCCAAGTTCTGGATGGTTGTGTGGGTCACTACTTGATTTTAGGACTCTTTATGGAGGAGAGATCGCATAAGACCCAAATTTCGCCGAGAGGAACGAGGTGTTATGTAGGAGACTGTCTAGAACCCATGAAGTAACCGAAAGCAGAGTGCGTCACAGCTCTTTCTTGTAAGTGCCAAAGAATGCCCCAAAATCGTTGTATCAACCTTGCGTTACTTATCCGTATTTGTTGGCAGGTAATGTTATGAAGCCCACTCGAACCAACTAATGACCCGTGTTCGACCGTCAGTGTTCCAACCGCTTCAAGTATGGTCGGACCTGATCTTCCAGCTCGGAATGTGATCCATAGGATATTTTCATAGGCGATTTTGGACGTTATCGATCGGTAGCTAAGGAGCTCACGCGTTCTCTGGGTGAGCTTGTAAACTGTGCATTTGCTACATGGAGCTGAACACAAATATGCAAAAGACGTAGTGAAAATGTATGATGCACCTACCCACCCATTTCCAGAGACTGCCTTCAATGAGAAGTGGAACGTCAGCGATACATGTACGTTCTCACCGCTTCCAACACCCAAGTGTATTCGATAGAATCACGCGCGTTACATCAGGGTGCATTGTCCAGCTCAGCTTCGTCCGTTTATCTCGCCATTGAATACTATGGGACCAAGCTTCTTGTGGTCGAGCGAGCCGTCAAGAAGAATGACATCAGCTCCAAAATAGTCCGCTATCTTGGAGAGTGCATGGGCAACGATCTCACGAGCGTGAACGTCACATCAATGAAAGGGAGACTGGAGGCGATCTGGAGGGCCGAGAATGTCATTGACCCGTTGCTATACCGCCCGTAAGACCTTCGATTCGCTAATGTACGCATACTTGCGGCTCGACCACTCCAACCTTACGACCCGGACTGTCTCTCAAATCCCAGGGGTTTCGAGTCCACACAAGGTCATTGCAATATTGGTGCTGATATACCTATGTAAGTGCAACAACATTTTCGTCCTGTATACTTATCAAGTACGATGAGGAACTGCTGATGAGTTCACCAGGCTTACGAGCGTCGGCTCCCCGCGTCAGGTCGGTACCGTAGCTCACCCTCAGGTTCACGTCTGGCAGTATCTTCCGTTCGCCCAAGCCTATGCAGGCAAGGACAAGTCACAGCGCGTCTGTTCGATAGGATGAGCAACATTATGGGATGGTATTACAAGCACTGTGCACGGAGGATATTTGAATTTGAGAATGTACGAGTTCCGCGATCGTCTAAGTTCCCGGAACACGCGGCTGATATTCAGCGTCATGGACCGGGAAAACACTCACCCCTTTCTGGTGTACATAGAAATGGAGGATGACGCGATGCGCCCAGGGAGTTGACACAATGAACTACCTTCATTCCTGGTATTGCGGCCAGATGATAAATCAGGCACCAAGACGCGGCTGAACGTACCTAAATCAAGGCCTGCGTTGAGGGTTGAGCACAGCAGAGAGGTTTGCATATATGCGGGATCCCAGAGTTCGAACAACTTGACTACTCACCGGCAAAACCCCCCACTTTTTGCCTGCGCATCCACCACCCAAATCATTTCCCTCATGTCCGGGAGCACCGTTTCCAATAGTAGTTACTCAGAGTACCCGGAATTTTATACTCAAACAGTCACTTTCCTCGTACGCCTCGCTTCTGCCATCTGTTCTCATCTTCTAACAAACCCCTCTACTAGGTGGATGGCTGTCTGTTCCGGATTTCCAGGGAGCCATTAGAGGCTGAGTCCACTGTCTTCAGGGACATGTTTCTACTCCCGCAAGGTGAATCTGGGACAGTCGAGGGGCAGAATGATACCTGTCCCGTGGTCCTGCGAGGCGTTTCCAAGAAGGAATTTGAAAGTTTACTACGTGCCCTCATGTACAGGTCAGCGTGGGTGCCGAGTCTCCATCCATATTTAACACTTGTTCTCTCACACCAGACAACATGGAACAAACAGGGGCTCAGATTTGGACTACGACCAATGGGTCTCAGTCCTCAAGTTATCGACGATGTGGGAGTTCACTGGGCTGCGTAATGCTGCAATCAGATACTTGGATCATCCTCTACGACCTCTTGACCCCATAAGCAAGGTGGAGCTGGCTTTACAATACAACATTGAAGAGTGGTTACTCCCTGCTCTGCTAGTACTCGCACGAAGATCCGCTCCAATCAGCATAGAAGAAGGGCGTCGTATTGGGTTCGAAAACGCACTGAAGTTGGCTTCAGTGCGAGAGAAATTTCGGCTGGAGACGGTTGTGGAGCAATTCACATGCACGTACTACCCCGGGGCTCTCCACCGGTACAACACTCAATACCTTGTCGTCGGCGACAGGGACCAAAAAGCTGAAAACCTTGACTATACTCTGTTCATACGCAAAGCTTTCGACCTATAGTCGTTGGATACGACTACTGCCTCATTGGTGTGTACGTAATGTGGTCCCTTATCTATGCATCAAATCTCCCGGCAGTGGTATCGAATTCCAGGAGCCCAGGTATGCAAAACACTAGTAGCGTCTATCTATCTAATTAGGTACTAGAACGCACTGAGGATGCAAACTCTATACGAAACCTGGGGAGGAACTTTCTATCGTGCATAATTTAGTATGGATGCAGCTGCTTAACCGTAGGGGAAAGAGACTTGTGAAGATTGTCCATTTTCTAGTTGTTAAGCCGCCTTATATGTATATTGAGACTGAATACCGAGTATGTGACTTTCGTTTTGCTAATTATAATACCGTGTATTTTGTCAACCTCACTAGTACGAAGCATCTCTAAAAAAAAATCCAGCCAAGTGTATAATAAGCATCAAGATTGCCGTTGACAAGTATTACAAGACCGTCGTCCCACTTACGAGGAGTTCACCACTGTAATCACCAGGAATTACGAGCATTAGCTCTGTGCATTATATGGGTACCGGTGCAGTAAAGCGAACTCGCGGTCAACTGCTGACCTGCAGTCGCCTGCAAGCTCGCCTACTGTTCGCCCAAGATACAAGCGACAAGTCACAGAAAATCTGTTCAACATGATGAGCAACACGGTGGAAGCATTGGGTAATACAGAAGAGATCTGGATTTTGCGATTACAGTAAGTCACTGGAAACACGCTGATATTCAGCGTAACGAGCTGGGGAATGTTCACCCTTCTGTTGTCTACATAAACATGTCTAATGTCGCGGTGTACTTGGTCGACATCCGGAATTGTGGACAGTCCATAAATCAGGTGCTAACATACGACTGGTCGTACCTTCAAGGATCTATTTAGAGCGTCACACAGAAGGCAGTGGGAAGGTTTGCATGAGTGTAGGATCTCGGACTTCGAACAAGACGCTGACCTCAGGCGAAGCCCCTATTTTTCCCTGACACGATTAGCCATGCACGGCGCATGGTAAGCTCGTGCGGTGATCTTCTGCCACAATCCTAGGGTGTTCAGTTCACGTGTGGACCACCACTCGATACCGTCTGTACGCCTCGCTGGACTCGCACGTTCAACACCCAGGTCGTTTCTCCCATGTTTGACAGCACCGATTCAACTACAGCTAGTAGCTACTCAAAGCACTCAGAATTTTATACTCACACAATTACCTTCCTCGTACGTCTCGCTTCTGCCTTCTGTTCTCATATTCTAACGCGCCACTCTACTAGGTAGAGGATTCGCTGTTCCGGATTTCCAGGGAGCCGTTAGAGGCCGAGTCCACTGTCTTCAGGGACATGTTTCTACTCCCCCGAGGTTAATCCGAGACAGTTGAAGGTCAGAGTGATACGTGCCCCGTGATTCTGCAAGGCATTTCTAAGAAGGAATTTGAGAGTTTGTTGCGAGCCCTCATGTACAGGTCAGTGTGTGCAGTCACGTAGTTTATACCCGTACTTGACGTTCGTGCCATGCACCAGAAAACATGGGACAAATAGGGGTTTGGATTTGGACTGCGACCAATGGATCTCGGTCCTCAAGTTGTCTACGATGTGGGAGTTCGTCGGGTTGCGTAATGCTGCCATTCAACATTTAGATATTCCTTCCGAGCTGGTCGACCCCATAGACAAAGTGGTGCTCGCTTTGCAGTACAACATCAGAGAGTGGCTACTCCCCGCTTTTCTGGCGCTAGCCAAAAGACCCACACCGATCAGTATAGAAGAAGGGCGTCGTATCGGTTTCGAAAACGCGCTGAAGTTGGCTTCAGTGCGAGAGAAACTTCGGCTAGTAATGGTCGTGGAAGAATTCACATTCACCTACAAGAGTTGTACTCGGACGCAGAAATACAACACTCGATGCCTTGTCCTCGGCGATAGGGACAAAGAAGCTGAAAACCTCGACTACACCCCGTTCATACGCGAAGTTTTTGGTCTATAGTTGTAGGATATTGTAAGCGTACACTTACCGCTTGTCACACTCACGCACCACCCGCGCTCACGCTATCGCTTCACACTAGATCACGTCTCCTGTCGCGCCCTTGTCTGGGCATGTGGATCCCTCCTGCTGTGTTGTACTGTTTGGATCCTGGGGGTACAGGGCATCTCTTCTTTTCCCTCTTTCTCTCTCTCTCTCAATCATCTTGCATCAGAGCATACGCTCGGTTGTTCAATCCCACACGCCTGTCAACGTTCCGTCGTTGTTGTGATTCGTCCTGAGTGTGCTCACCCCTACCGTGGTGAGTTCCAGATATGACTACTACCTGCCTGGTGCGTATATAACCTGGTCCTTCATCTACTTCCGGCAGCGGTATCGAATTCCGGGAGCCTGTGTATGCTAGCACTCCTGCGCGAGGAGAGATCTCATGCCAGTACCATTTGATAGCTGCAGGACGTAAGTGGAGACACGTCCAGAAACGTAGTCCGCAGCTATTTCCGCAAGTCACCTTATATTGGGAATCGATGCGGTGACGTTAAGGGCGTGGGTGACTCATCGACACCGCTCGGCCCGGGCCCACGAGTAGAGTCTGGGCCCTACTAACGATAGCATACTCCCGTAGCAGAGGTTACTTGTGCGGTACGTATGCATACATACAGTGTTCTCCACTACAACCGACCCACTTGTAAATACGAGAACGACTACTGATTACGTTTCAGTCAATCCTGGAAGGATTGACCAAGGTCCGAGTTGGGGTCTACGTGCAGTCACTATTCACCGAATCGTGCTGACACTTACTAGTATTCGCGTTGTTCAGATCTATTTATTCCAGTAATTGTGATGAGCACGGATGTATTGACAGAGAAGATACGACTCACTCCCTCCACACTGCCACATACAAATGTCTTGTGAGCGGGGAAAAACCTAAACCCCGATACCTCTAGGCCGGCCCTGTCTAACGCTTACATTTGAATCTTTATGCCACGGCGACTACAGAGGCTTGAATGTGCCAAACGCCAGAGATTGCTGGTGTTTTCGTAAGAAGGGGGTTTTCATACGGACACCCCTTCCACTCACCCAAACGCAAGCTCAAGGGCACATACATAGACCGACAAAAATATATTCACACCAACCTTTACCTCGTTCGCATCCATCTGCACGTAACTTACGATTTCAAAGTGGAAAAGCAGAGAAAAACATATAGGTGAAGTAGGAAGCGTGATTGGACGGGAAAAAAAGACCGACCGTACATGTAGACAAACCTTTTTCCAATCTGTCCATTCGTACAATTGTTACGATACCGCAGGGGGATAGTGCAGGATGAGAGGGGGGTTGCGAGAGTTTGTGTAGGGGATGACGAAAGGGAAGGGAGAAGGGAGTATGGTCAAGACAACAAAACAAAGACAGGCACCGCACCGGGAACCACGATCTCCAAGAACATCCGCCACTTTACCAACTTCCAGCGCAAAGTACGTTGGATGTCTCGCACAGCATGAGGGGATGGGAGACGGGTGGAATATATGATAGAGGAAAAGAAACCATGAGTGTGGAAGCTCGCGTGGTGAAGAAGTAGGTGGATGGGACGGACTGATAAGTCTTTCTCCACCGTCGTTGGTATTCATCGTCCAACTTCCACCGACCGACTCTTTTTCCCCATACCGTTACCGTTCCCGACACCCACGATTACCGCCCGTTGCAACAGACCGGCCCTAGCTGGAAAGATAAAACGAAAAATAACGAGGAGACCCGCACAAAGTGACCCATCACAACGAAACAAGATTGACCAAACACCACCTCTCCCACTCCACTTTCGTCGGTAAGCGTATGTATGCACGCACACAGTCAGAGGAAATCCTCCGCGCGTGCACGTTTCTTCCCGCGAAATTCTTCTGTGCCACTGGCCATTTGATCTTGCGATGGTGTGGTATTCGTTGCATCGCTGGCAAAGTAGTACTTCGCAGTGCGTCCACGCTTCTCCTCCTGTGAGCACAAAAAAAGGGTGCACCCGTGAGCGAGCCATGGCCAAAACAGACGAAGTGAGAGTGAAAAACGCAGTACATACAGGAGAGAAATTAGGATCTGCATATTTCAAGTCGGTCTTCTTCTTGAAAGGTCCATACTTCTGCTCGAGAGCAGGATTAGGAAGTACAAGTGGCGGTGGAAGGGACACCGCCGGTGGCTGTGGTGCTGTGGCTGCGGGAGGCACAAGCCCTGGAGGTGGAGCTGAAGCAGGCGTCCCATTCATAGACGCGACTGGCGAGGATGAGCTCGCAGGCACGAAGGTGGGCGGCGGAAGAGGCGGACGGGAAACCCCAGGGGGGAATGGTGGTGCACCTGGGGGAAGCATTCCAGGTGGCGGCAGCAGACCAGGAGGCGGCATAGGGAAACCAGGGGGTGGAGGACTGGAAAGTAGAATTAGCTATGAACAACAGTAAAAGCCACATGACAAGACATACCCGGGAGGGAATCCGGGCATGCCGGGGAATGGGGAAGCCATTGGAGGGACACCTGGGAACGGTCCTGGAGGGAGAACACCGGGCATGAACGGTGGCGGAGAAATGCCGGGAAGCCCAGGAGGGGGCGAGGCACCTAGAGGGGTGATGCCAGGAGTAGGAGCAGGTGGTACAGCATATGCGGTCGGAGCGGCATTGTAAACTGCAGCGGTTGCCTCTGGAGCAGGAGCAGCAGCCGGAGCATCGCTCGATGCACCCATGAGTGCCTTGTGGGCTTCCAATTGGGCACGCAGCTCATCCTCCGAAAGAGGTCGGTTGTCGATCTTGGGACGCTTTGGTTGGGGTTGGGAAATGGAACCCGCAGCGAGGCCAAGTTCGATTTCCTTGCGGCGTTTATAGTCTGCGACGTCAGGTGCAGGAATACCTTCCATACCAAAGATTTCCACCTCATAGCCGTCCCGACCGGGCAATGCGTTCTCAATTCGAGGGAGGCTGAGGCGGATCAGCAAGATGGAAGGATAGATAGGAACACGACTGCGCACTTTTCTGGTTCGAGTTTATGCACTTGCTGAATGTGAACTGCAAGACCACCGGCAGTATTCAGACGGCGAGGACACATGCCACACTTGAAGTGTTTCGCCTTTTGATGTTGCATGAGGACTGGAAGGCGTCAGTGAGCGGCACACAGCAGACGCCAGACGAGTAGGCTGACCTTTTTCATCTTCAAACTCACGCTCGCAGTACCAACACCAAGGACGAAGAACCTGGATATTTCGTTAAGTAGGATGTTTTATTATCGGGTTGATCGGTGTCGGTTTTGACTTACTTGCTTGCTCTTTTTCTTTGCCATCGGGGTCGGAATGCGTGGATGCAAGGAAAAGGAACACAAAACAAAAGAATATTTCTGTGACAGGCGTGGGAACACAATAAGCACAGCCACAGGGCAAGGGTTCCATGTCTCAGTAACTAGAAGACCACCGTACAAGGACCCTGGGTCAATAAGATCCGGTACACTATCCTCTCACAAGCGGAAAACTTCCATGTTGTCGCGATCGACCAGTTGGACATTTTGTACCTCAGAACTGAACAGCGATTCGTGTGTCTTCTTGATCCACATTGCATACTCCTGCTGACGTACCTGCACAGCCGACGTGAGAGGCATATCGCATTCACCCCTAAATATGTTCCTCCTCTCCCTCCTAAGCTTGCTGTGTCGATCGTGTCCTGGCGACCTTCGCGAGAGTCATTGCGAAATATACCCTCTCCGAAGCCGGTGGCATTGATGTCACTCCCAGACCCTCCGGCAGTGTCCTCATCGGTAGGTATGACTTTACTACCCAACAACCCTCCGAATGCAGAGTCGTAGCCGCCTTCCTCCTTGCCGATGCAGAAGGGAACGAGGACAGCACCTCCGAGCCCTTCACATTCTTGACTGGTGCAACCATCGCATCCGTATTTTTCGCTTGCACCCTCTGCATCCTCGTATACGTCACCCCTGAACGTACTCGTCTCAGCACCTCATCCGCCCCGATCTTCACATCGCCGCGTGTCCCACTCAGTCCCTCTTGTCGAGTACGATTCATCGTTGCTCTCACCACCACCTTTCTCTCCTCGTTCACCGGCGTTCTCAGACAGTGGAGCGGACACACATAAGCTTCATCACCAGCATCGCGCGTCTTCACCTGCGCACTCAGAAAGTACCATCTCATCAGCCAGAACGCGGAGTAGAATGGATGCGTTAGCTTGTCTAGAAGGTAGGGGAAAATTGGGAGTGCGGGGCCATGGGCGTGGAGATGGACGCTGAATGAGTAACTTCATGAGTATGAGCGACGGCGAGGACGAAGAGGGTGACGGTGAGAGCAACCGACGGGATATAATTGTTACTCGCCCTCGGGGAGAGGAGATACGGCTCGCGCCGACCATTTGTGTTGAGGACATAGGCTTGATGGGGGACGTCGAGGATGAAGGAGCTGAGGAAGGGCAGAGCCCTTCCAATTCTTCGTGTCTCTTCGTGAGCAACAAAGTACGGCCTGGACCAGACGATAATCAGCGTATCCGGAAAGGATTCTCGCCCTCACCTGCACTGTCTGTACCGTTATTTTTATCCGGGACGACGCTCGTTGTTGGGCCTTCTGCGTCGGCAAGCAGTTCGTCCCTTCCCGCCATGTCGACCTCGGCGCCAGCTGCATCCTACCTTGTAGGTAATGTTGTCGGAGCTTCACCTGCCTCCACAGCCATGTCTTGCAGACGCAAACGACGGAGTACGCTTGAATCATCGTTTCCTCTGCGTAGTTCCATCGATCTGAAGGCCGATCCAGACGAGCGCGTGTCTTCGTGGAAGTGGAGAAGTTTTATCGAGATTGGCATTGCCTGATTGTAAATCCCTCTTGCGACGTGGTATGATCTTTCCCCCACGATGTTTCTTACTGTTCGTATTCTATCTAGCTATCCTATTCACTTTGCTTACCGGATACACGGGATGTATCCAAATTACCCTCATCCATTCCGTTGACTTTTGATTTCCTTAGACACTTCTAATTGTGGTATCTTACGCATTATTCTGCCGAACATCTGGTTTCAGGCTCCAAAATTACATGCTAATCTCTCTTTTTCTTTCGCCGTTCACCACTCTTACATATGATCTCTTGCAATCTCTAATATGTCCAGTTCTATCTTTCCTTACGATACACTCAATCATGACCACAGACACCCGAGCAGTATGGATCGAAGAATGTAATAGTAGTGTCGACTTGACAAACTATTTTTTGAATCAGAACGTGTGCTCGTGTCGGAAAAAGCCGCCACCTTGATATCGACCAACAGTCCGCAACTCCACGCCCTCTCCACGCGTCTATCTTCGTCTCGAACCATACGCTTATTACTCCTGCGACATTCCAAGAACTTCAACATTTCATTATTCATGGCTCCTGAATGGTTCAAGGCGTTGTGTTGTATTCGACAACCGCCTTCTCCGAGCGACGACCCAGTTGATCGTCAAGTTCCTGCTCCCATTGGAGCTGCTCAGCCCACAGCCAGTATAGATCCCGTTCTTGTGCTGACTGAAGTTCCTGTCGAAGGCTCTGGCTCTCCCTCGGCCAATATTGGGGACGTTCGTGCTGACACGGTAGTCGAGAACACTCGCGCACGTTCTCTGGGCCCTAGGCCCTAGCCCTAGAGACACGAACATTCCCGTGCCTGCCTCTATTCAAGGTGGTTGCACTGTGTTCTTTATGTGGTTCCTAAGCGTACTTAGTTACTTGACCAGGTTCTCCGTCAAACAGTACAGGTGCTCTTGCTCCTGCACTAATCGAGGCGCAACCCCCAGTTCCATGTTCTCCGGAAGAGAGTACGGATACTCCTGTTCCTGCACACACTGAAGAAGTAGCCGCGGGTAAGCGTTGTACTTGCTGCTCACTGCTCATGGGACAAGTCCTGGGAACCTTGATCAGCAGCGTCAACCACTATATCCCCTATGATTAGCTTAGATCCAGCGAAAGCTAGAGAGCACATCGATCGCATCGATCGCTTTCGCATTCTGGTCATGGGCAGAGCCAATGCAGGTAAAACGACCGATCCTGCAGAGGGTCTGTAATACTACGGATCAACCAGAAATTTTTAATGGGGAAGGAGAGAAGGTGTGTATGTTTCCTGGTATTTGCTCGAGATTAACGATGTGTCGGGCTTTATTCAGGTGGATGCTACCTTGGTGCAGGGTTCACTAAAGGTGAAGTGACTTCATGAATATTCTGCAATGTACGCTGAATGGTTGAATGTGTCCAGCATGGTGAACACAACATTGAGGATGAGCTGGTTTTCAAGAGTAACCGAATGCTTCGTATTCCATGACTCACGTGGATTTCGAGGCCGGAAGTGAAAGGGAGTTTGACATGATGAAGGAATTCGTGATGGATCACGCCAAGACAATGAAGCTGGACAAGAGAATCCATGCCATATGGTAGGAACACTGCATCTGACACCCTAAGCAAAGTGACATGGTTTCTGTGATGGATTTAGGTTTTGCATTCCTTTGAATGAAAGCCACAGGATGGTCACAGCTGCAGAAAAGAAGTTTTTTGATATGTGTGATACAGGGCATGGTGTGTATATTGACCATACTCTCATTGATGGTTTTAAATTTCACTTTTTTTGTCACAGTTCCTGTAATTGTATTGCTAACAAAAACAGATACCTTGGCCTTGGATGCCATCATGGAAGTTGATGATGGTTTGAATGAAGATGATGCAATGGAAAGGGCTCAGGAGGTAGAAAAAGGAAGTTGAAGGAGTGTCTCATAAAGGTCAAGGATTGGTTGAATAAGTCAAGGTTTCCACCCTCTGACTATCTGTCACTCACTGGTGAGTATCCTAACCATCACTTGAGAATGGCACACCACTGACAGGAAATGACTGCAGGAATGCAAGAAGAGGGTGCTGATTGTGCAACCCTACTGACATACACAGCAAATGCATTAAATGAAGAAGGACTGCAGCAGCTCCTCACATCAACACAGCAATCTAATCTAGGACTGTGTATGGAGTTTGCAATAACAAAGTAGGTGAGACAGCTGAAGGATAAGAATGTACTGATATGTGCAAGGACACTGAAGAACTACATGCATGGCATGGTGGGCAACATTACACCAGCAGGTCTTGCATATCACCTCTCAAGATGGTTTCCATATGTAAGAAGATAGTGAGTGGATTGGAGGAGATACTGATTTTTCAACAGAAAGTGTGTAAAATTGTAAAAAAGAGGATATAACAAATACTAATGTGGCTGTGGCATTGGGTGGATAGCATGTGAGTGGATCAGGTGCTGGAGGTTCTGGAAGGATTCTGACCATGTTCACTCCCACCCTTTTGGACTTGCATTCATAGGAAGTGAGTGGAGCCATGGCAGGTGGTGGAAGGATTCTGACCATGTTCACTCCCACCCTTTTGGACTTGCATTCATAGTTTGTGAGTGGAGCCATGGCAGGTGGTGGAAGGATTCTGACCATGTTCACTCCCACCCTTTTGGACTTGCATTCATAGGAAGTGAGTGGAGCCATGGCAGGTGGTGGAAGGATTCTGACCATGTTCACTCCCACCCTTTTGGACTTGCATTCATAGTTGTGAGTGGAGCCATGGCAGGTGTGGAAGGATTCTGACCATGTTCACTCCCACCCTTTTGGACTTGCATTCATAGTAGTGAGTGGAGCCATGGCAGGTGGTGGAAGGATTCTGACCATGTTCACTCCCACCCTTTTGGACTTGCATTCATAGATAGTGAGTGGAGCCATGGCAGGTGGTGGAAGGATTCTGACCATGTTCACTCCCACCCTTTTGGACTTGCATTCATAGTGAGTGGAGCCATGGCAGGTGGTGGAAGGATTCTGACCATGTTCACTCCCACCCTTTTGGACTTGCATTCATAGGAGTGAGTGGAGCCATGGCAGGTGGTGGAAGGATTCTGACCATGTTCACTCCCACCCTTTTGGACTTGCATTCATAGTTGTGAGTGGAGCCATGGCAGGTGGTGGAAGGATTCTGACCATGTTCACTCCCACCCTTTTGGACTTGCATTCATAGTTGGTGAGTGGAGCCATGGCAGGTGGTGGAAGGATTCTGACCATGTTCACTCCCACCCTTTTGGACTTGCATTCATAGAGAGTGAGTGGAGCCATGGCAGGTGGTGGAAGGATTCTGACCATGTTCACTCCCACCCTTTTGGACTTGCATTCATAGGAGTGAGTGGAGCCATGGCAGGTGGTGGAAGGATTCTGACCATGTTCACTCCCACCCTTTTGGACTTGCATTCATAGTTGTGAGTGGAGCCATGGCAGGTGGTGGAAGGATTCTGACCATGTTCACTTTACCATTTGAGATTCCCACCTTCACTCCCATTTTGGCTTGCATTATAGAGAGTGAGTGGAGACCATGGCAGGTGGTGGAAGGATTCTGACCATGCACTTGTCACCCACCCTTTTGGACTTGCATTCATAGAGTGTGAGTGGAGCCATGGCAGGTGGTGGAAGGATTCTGACCATGTTCACTCCCACCCTTTTTTGGACTTGCATTCATAGAGAGTGAGTGGAGCCATGGCAGGTGGTGGAAGGATTCTGACCATGTTCACTCCCACTCCTTTTGGACTTGCATTCATAGGAAGTGAGTGGAGCCATGGCAGGTGGTGGAAGGATTCTGACCATGTTCACTCCCACCCTTTTGGACTTGCATTCATAGAGTGAGTGGAGCCATGGCAGGTGGTGGAAGGATTCTGACCATGTTCACTCCCACCCTTTTGGACTTGCATTCATAGGAGTGAGTGGAGCCATGGCAGGTGGTGGAAGGATTCTGACCATGTTCACTCCCACCCTTTTGGACTTGCATTCATAGTTAGTGAGTGGAGCCATGGCAGGTGATGGAAGGATTCTGACCATGTTCACTCCCACCCTTTTGGACTTGCATTCATAGAGAGTGAGTGGAGCCATGGCAGGTGGTGGAAGGATTCTGACCATGTTCACTCCCACCCTTTTGGACTTGCATTCATAGAGAGTGAGTGGAGCCATGGCAGGTGGTGGAAGGATTCTGACCATGTTCACTCCCACCCTTTTGGACTTGCATTCATAGTAGTGAGTGGAGCCATGGCAGGTGGTGGAAGGATTCTGACCATGTTCACTCCCACCCTTTTGGACTTGCATTCATAGAGAAGTGAGTGGAGCCATGGCAGGTGGTGGAAGGATCTGACCATGTTCACTCCCACCCTTTTGGACTTGCATTCATAGGAAGTGAGTGGAGCCATGGCAGGTGGTGGAAGGATTCTGACCATGTTCACTCCCACCCTTTTGGACTTGCATTCATAGAGAGTGAGTGGAGCCATGGCAGGTGGTGGAAGGATTCTGACCATGTTCACTCCCACCCTTTTGGACTTGCATCACAGAGAGTGAGTGGAGCCATGGCAGGTGATGGAAGGATTCTGACCATGTTCACTCCCACCCTTTTGGACTTGCATTCATAGGAAGTGAGTGGAGCCATGGCAGGTGGTGGAAGGATTCTGACCATGTTCACTCCCACCCTTTTGGACTTGCATTCATAGGGAGTGAGTGGAGCCATGGCAGGTGGTGGAAGGATTCTGACCATGTTCACTCCCACCCTTTTGGACTTGCATTCATAGTTGGTGAGTGGAGCTGTGGCAGGTGGTAGAACCATTCTGACCATGGTCCCTGCTTTTTGAACATGTTGTCCATATTACAAAAATAGATGGTGAGCTCAATTGATGTATCCAGTCCACATTCTTATTTTACATTATCTCAGGATGTAGGTCAATGTTTACATGGCATTTCAATTTGACCCTTATGTCTCTACTTGCATCTATCAGCATGTCAGTCATAATCTTTCAGGATTCTTTCCCATGCTAATATATGCTGTAGAATGTGTGCATTCATTTTTCTTTCAATCTGTATGATGATCACTGATAAAGTTTGTAGTTGGTTTGTGGCCCTGTTTCTCATTGATGTCACCTGACATGCTCCCATCACACATTGCTCAGGTGGTCTGTTTTATTTTCCTTCTTTCTGCCATCAACAGATCACCTGACTTGACAGCATTATAGCCTAATATCACTCATTACTCTTCTTCTGTCCACATGCCTACTTTGGCCATCTCACAAAAACCTTCACTGCAATATGTTGCAGCATATGGCATTGGTAATTGTTCTCTTGTCATCATTCGACACCCATAACACCCAATTGCAGGTGCTATACTTGTGTTTGAATATTTGTACTTCTTGTTGCAGGCCAACAAAGTGAATGGTGATCTACAGGCAAACCTTGAACAGGCTGTCAGAACATATCAAACATCAGGTGTCCAAGCTACTGTTGCTAAACTTATCACAGCAGCATTTCAGTGTCATGGTGAAGATGTTGAAGTTTTACACCCCATCCTTGTTGGTATTGCAAAGGAAAATCAGATGTGTCAGATACTATTCCCTCAATGCCAATCAACCTCTTTCTTACCTCTATTTGGATTAGCAAAGATGACATAGGAGGGGATATTTTTCAAGTGGTTACTGGGCCTGCTGTGAGTCCCTCCACTTTTCATTGGTGTGACATGCATATGAAAAATGAAGAGATTATTTTCAGGCCACCAATGCTGATCCTTTGGAATTCTTCACTGTGGGGGGAGCTTGCAAAATCTGCAGTTGTCTCTGCCCTTGTAATTGGATGTGCCACCAATCTTCATGTTGACAATCCCCACATTTTCCACATCAGTAAATATGGGGAAGATGCAATTGTTCTGTATAGATTGAATCAATATATATACTTGCCATGCCACTCAGCTATCCAGAGTCAAGCTTTACCTATGTTCTATGCCATTCTATTTTGTCTTTATGACTCATGTTGAAGTGCAATTCAAATCCTGCAGAAGTGACTCAGCAGCTATAATGAACATTTCTCCTCTAACCATCCCTCTGCTGACCCAACCATTTTCTCTCCATTGTGACAACTGCCCTTTCACTTAATGCCCTACTTCCTAGTAAATTGGCAAACCACTGAGCAATGCATGCATATAATAACCTAAATAATCAGTTCCTGCCAGATGTTGGTCCTGCATGTGTTTCAAGTCTGGTTCATCTCCACTGGCAAGTCCTGTTGCAAGGCCAGTAGGGAGGGGGCAGATGTGGGCAGGGGTTATAGCTATGGACTGTCTCTACTTAGCAACTGTGAATACAGTACTATTCCCTCTGGCCTGGGGCTTGAGGCTGGGCTGAGCAAAACACTAGAAACAAGACATAGAACATGACAAGGACTAGGCCAGTTGATCAATTGGTTGGTGACTGGGTGAGTTTCCTCACAAACTATAACTTCTAGTCTTGGACCTGTGCTCACCCATAGCTGGACCACAAACTCAAACATAGCAAGAAACTATCATAGGAAATGGCATTAAAGTCCAACAACACCCTGCTGTCATTTCATACATGAATACAAAGGCTGTACAGCTTACAAGTGTCAATTGTCACAAAAGCTGCAGCTCATCCAACTTGCTAACCAGGCATTATATGAAAACTTGGCAATATGACAAGAAATCTCCTGTGGGGAATATAACAACAGGATGTGTTATGTTGTACTAATTTGATAGCTTTGTAGCTGGTGATTATGGCCCTGGGCAAAGAAGGAATGGCTGTCTTCCTTGGATGCATGGGTTTGGTTAGGGACAAAATAATTGCCTGCATCTCAGTGCCAAATGAGAGTACAATGTAAGGAAAGTCCAAGTAGCTGTATAATACAAGCTAGATGGCTTAGATAGCAACAATAAAATGAAGGGAATGAATTGCTCATCCCAAGGGATTCTGGACTGCTGAGACTAGAAGGTGGGACTCTGTGATTTGTAGTGGTAATGTTTCATGGCATGCATGGCATGTTCCATGGTGTTGTACTGGTGATGACAGTAGAGTGAGCACTATATGTAGTTCATGTGCAGCAGTTTGCAAGGTGTGCAGTGTAGACAAAGTGAACAGAAGACTCATAGTGACCTTCCAACTGCCAAAAGGTATCATTCTGTACCTAGAGTAGGACAAGGTACAAGTAAAAGAAAGTTGCATGAGAGTGCATGCACACAGGACAGGCTACAATAGGGGCCAAGGGTATACTACTAGCATAAAGGGAATGGAGACTGTGGTAAAAGAAAAGAGTCCAAAGGAAAGGAAGTGACCAGAACACAGCAGCTGCAGGTATTAGCAGTACATGAGAGGGAGTGAGGGCATGGGAAGGATAGCAAGGAAGGCAGGAAGGTAGCACATGAGTGGGAGTGGATGTGAGTGGTCTGGGGACATAATGATAGTTGTGGAATGTCAATGATAGGGGGTTATGTGTCTAGGGAATGCAGATTCCTTACACCTGCAGGGGACTTAGATGCTGACCATCCCTGGTCAGCCATGTGGTGTGGAGGATGTAAACAATGATGCTGCATGGTAGTGGAGAAGGTGTGGTGCTGAGGGTTCAAGAACACCAAGTGAATGCAGTGTAGAAGTGAAGGGAGTGTGTTGCCAAGGAAGCCAAGAACACTGTTGAATGCTGCATAGAAGCATCCAGACCAACGACATAAGTGCCTCATGGCCACTAAGTATATATTTGTTAGTGTGTGGCTCAAACCTTCACATTGGTTTGATTCTTACCCCCCCCCCCCCATCAACTCCTCTTACACTTGTACTATGTCTGCTAATCATCTCCCCAGGCTTTCCCAGCTCATTCACATGGCTACCCCTGACCTGGTTGAAGTGGAGAAGGCCATGCTGAGGGAGCAGTTTGTCACTGCTTCTACAGCTTTGGTCACTGAGGCTAGGTGCCTCCTGGATGACAAGGAGGAACTGTGGGAGGAAAAGGTGTTGTGGATGCACTGGTGGGAGAAGAGAACAGTAAGCACATGCCTCACTTTTGTGGGTCACATGATTGACCATGGCCAGGGTGAGGGCTTTCCCATTATTGAACATGGTCAGGCACTGGGGGTCAACATGAGGATCAATGCAGTGGATGGGCCAATCATGGAAAAGGCTAATGAGGCCTACAAGAGGTGGGCTACAGAGGAGGTTGCCATGGCAGTGCATGGAGGGGTTGACAAGGATGTGCAAATGGGAGAGGAGGCCATGCAGGAGGTTGGAAAGCAGGGAGTGAGCACAGAGGTGCCAGCTGCAACAGTGAAGATGTCACATGTGGAGGTGTCCCAACCTGTACAAAAGGTAAGTGAGTTCTTCATACAGTGTGGCAGAGGCTAACACTTGGGCCCTTAGTGGTCTTGGCAGATGGTCATGGAGAGCAAGGATGAGGCTGAGACACCCAAGGTCATGGTTCTGCTGGGGTCCATCCTTCACAAGGAGCCTTGCATGAGGTGTGTGGTAAAGAAGACCCCATGTATCAGACCTGCAGGGCAGACATGCCACAGATGCACATGCATCAAGCAGGGCTGTGAGAAATCCACAAAGGCTGGAAGGAAGGCACAGGTGGGTGCTTTGGTTGGTAAGTACTACAGTTGTCTCAGCAGGTCTGGGGCCAACAGCTTGTAGTGCAGACCTTGAGGGCTCCCAAGGCTGGCTCATCCAAGAAGGTGGCCAATGATGATGACAATGTCAATGTTGAAGTGGTTGAAAGCCACTCACACATAAAGGGAAAGGCCCCAGTGCATGGTGGGCTCAACAGCAAGGTCACAGCAGACCTAGTTGCAGGCTGAGGCTGAAGAGTCACAGGACATATACCTGTGCCTTCAAGTTCACACTGACCAGCTTGCAGAGGTGCTGGAGAAAATAGGGGTTGAATAAGAGTGATTGTCCTCAGTTTAGATTCACTATGTTGTCCTATCTGCATCTCAGAGTGCAGAGCATGCAATATACTGATTTTCTCCCTTGTGTATTTTTGAAGGATGCTGTAGGTATCCTCAGTAGTGCAACAAGCTACTTATGTATTAGACCAACCTGTAGGTATCTACAGGACATCAGTAAGTATAATACTGGTAGTGAAAGTGAGCTTACCCTCAGTAGTGCAACAAGCTACTGAGGGAACAGTGAATAAACTACTGTAAAATGTGCGCTCTAAGGTGATTATGTAAGCACCCAAACATCGCACCAAAATGAGCAGAACACAGGGGAGAATATATCTCCAACATGTATGAGGTTGTGATGTGAAATGACATGGAGTGCTCGACTACTCTCTGTGGGAAACTGAGCTTGGTTTGGCCATGGTAATGTAGAGTGTGTGGGGTACCACCATGCATGTTTGAAGAAGAAATGTACAGGGTAGTTGTGAGTATCTGTGGTATACAGTGGCCAAGGATGGCATCAGTGAGACTAGTAAGTGAAGTAACAAGAGAGATGGTGTTTTAGTTATATACTTATTGGGTGTTTTGTTATTTTTCTTGATGGTTTTGGATTTTTTGTTAGTGGTTCTTATGTTGTTTGAGTGAGGACTAGCTATCAGTAGAATCACCAGATGAAACCTGGGGTGGAACAGAGGTCTCTGGACAAAACCTGGGGTAAAACAGATAAGGAGAAACAAACTGTGTTTGGTATTGGATTGAGTGAGTGGTATGTGGGTCTCCCCTGCAGGGGACTTCAAATGCTGACTGTCCCCAGTCAGTGCAGAAGGTGTAGTGACAGTAGCAGTGGAAGTGGCAGGGGGGTGGAGGTTGTTGCTGCTGCAGAATGGGGTATCATGGGGTAGAGAGGAACAGAGACAGGTAGGAATGGCAGAAGGTGTGTTTGGATTGTGTACATATTCCACCAGTCATCACCATCCTTGAGCCCCTATTCTACAAGGCATACAGTGGCTCATAAAATTGTCCCAATTTTTGCATGTTTTTCATTAATCATGGTGCAGGCAGTGAGCTACCATTATCCAGTCCAAGGTGTTGGTGGATGGATCCAAGCAGCTGGTCATGGCTCTCTAATGAGCCATATTACATAATATTTGGATGAAAACTGGTGACTGAATACCCAAATGAAAATGACAGCTCATTGGGACAATTTTGGAACTTTATGGCATACTAGGGATGCAGTCCATGGGAACACATATAAAATGATATAAGATGCTCACCAATGCTTACATAATTTATCACATGGTCTACTGAATGATCTGTCAACAAACAAATAATGCCAAAGAGTGATTTTGCACCACTAAGCCTTCTTACTGTAGCACAGCTCAAGAAATCACCATTCTGGCTCATCAGGGACATTCTCTCAGGGCAACCTCAGCAAATACTGGTGTATGCTATAGTATAAACAATAGAATATGCTATCAGTACCATTGGTATCTTCAGAAATCTGCTGGCAGTCATCTCCTGCACTATTTCCCCAACAATGCTCCATGTGTCCTGGAACTAATCAGTACTGTGAGAGCTGAGAATGATGTTGAGGTCCAATCTGGCATTCATCCTATCATAAACAAACGAATCAACCATTAACTAGTGCATTTCTGTAAAGGGGGAACTAGCATGGAAGTCAGGGTGAAGCTAAACCTGTCATAGTCATGCCTTGACCCCAGTTGGACTTGGACTCACACTCATTCAGTCTGGCCTTGGCCTCGCCAGTCCCTTACCCCAGATGTCCTAGCACAGTGAACACTGCTTTGCAGGGTGTGTCACTTTGGTTAAGTTTTGCCTGGCCTTGTCCCTGGTCCACCCTGTCCCAGTTTCTGTTACCTTAGTCATACCTTACTAATATTTGTCTTACCAATCACCTAGTAGTCCCACGACGGACGTGTCACCACAACCACCACAACCACCACCACCATGACCACCAACCAAGCACTGCTGGACAAAGCCAAGCATACCAACCCAGCACGGGCAGAAGAGATTTACAAGCAAATCCTCGTCTCATCAGGTTCATCACTTGTGTTTGATGCCATCCAAGCTACCCATCACTTCATCCCCAACAGCATCACCATCCAGTGTCGAGAGAGATCAGGTACTGCGAGACCAAGAAAATGCCATGATTAAACTTGCAGAACTATACCGAGATCAGTGGTGAGCCTCTCTCCCAACTCCTTGTCCCAGCTGCCCTCATGGACGAGCAGAAATGCACAAGGGCTGGCAGAGGTGATCACCCTCTCGAGATCGTTCATGTTGTCTACTGCAAAAGCCAAAACAGCAAAACTCAGTTTGTGCCAATGCTCCGGTTACTGTATTGAAACTCACGTTCACCCATGTAGTTCGTACCCTACTCAATTACTTCAATGATGACCCAACAGTCGTTAGACCCAAATTGATGTTTTGCTTTGCAAATGCTCTCCCCACGTACACGGAGGACATTCTCGTCGAGTTCTTGAGTTTCCCGCCTTCAATAGGCTCATTGAACCAACCAAGATTATGCCTTGGCCAGTTCCACATGGTACAGCGAATGTGGTCGCATAGCGTTCTTGAGCCACCTTGAGGCCAACATGGTTGTTTGGGTTGTTTTGGGGGCAGAGGTTGAAAGGAAATGGGACATGCGCTCAAGTCACAAGTCACAAGTAAGAGGCAACTGGAGATAGCAGAGAGATCCCACAGAGGCGATGAGCGAGCTTGTCGACCGATTGATGCGTTTCCTAGGCTGATGAGCGCGTTGCATTACATATACCACGAGATCAGTGGAGCAGCAGGAGGTGGCCCCGCGAGCAAGGAGCTGAGTGATCTGTACTCTTCTCCCGCCTGACTAAGCATCCCTCCCCTCCCTACTCCACCAGTACAAGAGTATCGTGCAGAGTTGATGGCAAACAGTATGTGGGTCTCGACTCTCGAGTACTTCTGGCTCTATGCCTGTCCTCTCACTGCGTTGAAAACCTTCAAGGGTCCAGAGATCCTTATGCACACACGTGAATTGGCAGAAAGTCTGGTCCTACAAAATCACTATATCGGTGACCCCATGGAGTCAGCCAGTCCTGACGGTTTTTCTGGGTCGTATACGCAGATACCGATTCCGTCTTCATCAATATTTTCCAATGTCACAGAGCTCTCAGAGTGATTTTTTTTGACATTTGGCCACATGCTTACCTGTGAAGCAGTGCGAATCATCGATCAATATGCGACATAGCTTAGGGAACTGCCAACATTACAAGTAAATAAGGATGGTTTGAACTTGGAGCATCTGGGCGACACTGGGAAAGTCACGGGACTACTGTCACATCGACGGTTTGCATGCCAGGTTAATCATTGAACTCATCTCACTGCAGCGACCGTGTCACTAGGGACACTGTGACCCTGTGCTCTGGCGATGAAGTTGGCTCTTGCACCAAGGTCATCTAAAAGTATGTTTGACATTGGACTTGTTTTTGGTAGCGCCATGGACTTTCTGAATGATGCTGAATACGATGGTATGTAGATGAATTTCTCAATTCTTACTTGCTGACATCTCCATCTCAGTACACATACAGGTGTCCACAATCACAAAGTTCCAAGGACCTTTGAAATGCAAGGATCAGAAGTTCCGTGTTTCCCTCCATTCAAAGATGCCAACCTGGTACAATCGTAGATACCATCGCACTGGGACTAGATGGGCATTTGGTTTGTACGATACAGTAGTTTCGTACCCATTCTATGCCGCGGGCAAGGCACTGGTGTGGCAGATCAATCGCTGGCGCCTATACGATCCCCAAGAAGTAAGTTTAAGATCTCCAGGACATGTACCAAGTCACGGAGTAATTTCTTGGATAGGATGTCCTTCACATCGCAAACTTGCGTGACAGCGCAAAACATGATTTGATTACAACTTACACCGGATCTAGGACAGATTTTGCACCTTTGTTCCATCTCCGGCTTCTGCAATATGCAATACACGTTGGCACTCAAGTCCTCATGCATGGCGCCATACCTCTGGCTTCCCATTGATTGCTCTATCTTGGTATGTTGTGAAGATACTTCCTTGGTATGTGCAGAACATTCCATAGCCCTGACAGGGTGGAATCCACTCCCATTCGGGGAATGCATACACATGAGCCACCAGTGCATGACATTCACGAGAGAGTCAGATACTGATACAATGATACCTAGCTCCGAAAGGAGGGTTGGACTTCTTACATGAAGAGCCTGAGCCTGAGCATCAGGTATGGTCCACTGCTTCTCCCACATGTGGGACACCTCTGGGAAGACTTTTACGTCGGCGGCACGAATAATGTTTGTTTTCTGTGCTTGTGCAAGTTATACGCTCAATGGAAATCAGCGTAAAAATGGTTGGTCATCCCCATTGCCCAAGCTAAGGTGGCCCATCCCTCACCCCGACGATGCTTCATTGGATGATTTGCTACACCCAATCTCGGACAGATTTTGCAGCTTCGTCCCATCTCTGGCCTCTGCAATATCCAATGCAAGTTGGCGCTCAAGTCCTCCTGCATGGTGCCGCACGACTGGCTTATCGATTACTCCACCTTGGTGTGTTGCTTCTTCTGTACTTGCAGAACATTCCATCAGAGCTTGTTCTAATGGAGTAGTTCGAATATGAAAGTAGTCCCATGACCTGATGGGGTCGGATTCAAGGGTTTCCGAAGACCATGAGGGTACCCAGTCCTCAGAGGATAAAAGGGTGACCGACTATCAGTGCTTCCCCCAGTCAACGTACTCGACTATTATTTTCGACATGATGCACAGGCTCTGTCCCAGCGTGTACCAGATCATCTCTGTGGCATACAAGGAAGACCTTGGTCTTTCCCAATTCACGAACCCCATTTAACCCCTGCCTCCTGTTCCAGTTGTAGTCCTTCCCGATGGAGTATTGCCTCCTAAGGTAAATCTGATCCTGGTATTATTTACAAGGAGTTGATTGATCTCGATTCACCCAGTTTATCGTCGAGCTGGTCATAGATGAGCCGGAGACCTATCTCATCAAGGTCCAGGAGGACATGAGTCCAGTAATCAAGAACACCTGCAGTGTTCCCGGTCCAGAGGATCCTCGTCTACTTGATCCTCACGTCTTCGCCTTCAAAAATGAACCTGCTGAGAAGTGAGTTGTCCTCCACAGAGAGGATGATGAGGATGATGACATATACACATAAGTTATTAGTGCTTAGTATTGACGAGAGAGTGAGATACTGATACAGTAATCCCTAGCATCGAAAGGAAGCCTGGGTATGGAAATCTTGCATGGACTGCTCCATGGCACAAAGAGCCTGAGCCCGAGCATCAGGTATGATCCACCACTTCTCCCACATGTGAGACATTTATCCGTAGCATATTTCCAGATTCTCCTCTGTGAACTGATCGTCAAACCAACTGACCCTCCTACTTTCGATCCTTTCCAGCTGTTCAACTTCCAATTTGTACGCCCGGTAGTACCCCCAGCGTGATGTGCAGATGGCAATTATGTACTCCTGTCCAAAATGTAACAATACGTGACCAGTACTGCCCAAAGAATGCTGTGTGATGACTTGATTGTACTTTGACTCCTGCATGTGTCGAACCACTAGTGGTCCCTCTTCACGGTGCCTGCCTTTTTGTGATCACTCTCCACCTAGTCTCCCATAATAGGCAGACCACAGACTCGATGGAAGACAATCACTCCCAGCCGTTCCCCCATTCTGGAATTCCAAATCATGACAAAGCGTAATAACCACGATTGGCATCCGTCTGTTGACAGCATACTGTGCGAATGCTGGCACAGGTTTTTAACTTTCTGATGTATGCACCCAAGTATTGGACATGGCAGATTTACAGGCCACCCGTACCTGGGCCAACATTCTAAGCACTTGGCCTACCAGACGAGGGTGGTCCCCCACGACTCGACATGACTTAGCTCACATGCTAGAGGACCTCCAACACGAAAAGAACCTTCTCATGGCAGGCTCTCAGCGCTGATGATGAGGGCGGCTCGCTGGTTCTTGCCATGAGCATCCGACATATGAGCTCCTTCCCTCCAGTTGGCACATTCAATGGATGCAAGGGAGTAAAGGAGTCAAGGTTGTACGAATGATGCATCATGTATCTGGCAGGAACGGTTTTTAAACGCAGATTACATATTATAGCATATGTATGGTTTGGGGTGAGTGTCTCTGGGCACTGCGAAAGAAAACCAGTCAGAAGTCATGGAATTCTGGGAAACCGATGTACCTGCTAGTGGCCCACGAATTCGATATCACCATCTATTGAGTCCAGTTTCACCTTGCAAATGTTCTCTCCATGTGTACGCAGGATATCCTCGATGTTCTTGAGTTTCCTGGCTTCCATGGTATCCTTGAACCAACCAAGATTATCAGCGATAAGATGCCTAGCCTCATCGTTGATGTTAATTGGATATGCTCATCAGAGCAGAAAGAAGTACCACACCAATTCTTACAGTTGGGACACTGAATAATCACAACGCCACTAGCATAGGCACGCTTCGTGAATGAGTGTGCAGAACGATGGTTACATTTTTCCACTGTACAGGTAAACGCAATGAGCAGCCATGGTTCAGGTGGGTCGGCATTGGACTGTTTTTGGGTCGGTGAGGAGGTTGTGGAAAGTTTCGTGGTGTCTGTGTTAGGCTGTTCTGGTGTTGCTTTGGAAGCAATTGCCCAAATGCTATCTGCAGGCCGTAGTCTTGACCATGAAGATACTACTGCCCTGGCCGATGCTGCATGGTACAGTGAATGCAGTCACACAGCATTCTTGAGCCATCTTGAGGCCAACATGGTTGTTTGAGGTTGTTTTTGGGGGCGGAGGTTGAAAAGGAAACGGGACACACGATTGTGGCATGTATTCGTGGCTGTAACTGGCAATATGGCAGAGCGATTGCACCGAATGAAGGGAAATATGGACAAGTTTGCAGCATACAAACATGCACGAGAAGGCAGGAAAAGGGACTGGAAGGTAGGCAGCGTGAAGGAGAGAGCCTGTCGGTCGATTGACATGTCGCCTAGGTTGATGAGGACATCACATTATACGACGAGGTTACCAAAGACCAGTACAAGAGTATCATGCGGGGAAGACTGCAGGAGGACGATTTTGTCATTGACGATGGTGTGAGTGGTTACATGGACAATGGGATGGACGATTGGGGTCATAATGATGTGGACAAGGAGGAGGAATGATCACACTCAGCCAGGAGATGTAAGTCTGCTACACAATGCAGTCACTAGCTATTGATCGAAACGTGCATTACAGCCAAGAAGAGAACTGGGGATGCTGTCGCCAAGTCGAAGGCAAAATCAAAGGCTCCACCTCCACCTGTCGCGCAGCCTTTGATCAGTGTGTATCGTCCAGCCATATCTGCCGAACAGGAAAATGATTTTATGGCGAACCTTCCTGAAGGCATTGAGTCAAATCCAAGTCTCGCTCCGAAGAGGACAAAGAAGAGGAAACCCTTGCCATCGCCTGATTATGACAATGTGAAACCTGTTATCGATTCCTCACCTGTTCTGTACAGAGAACGGAAGAGTTCTAAGAACTTTAACTACGACCCTTACTCGTCTGATGGTATGCCTGACGACCTAGGTTCATCTAACCCACCCTCCAGTGACCTCATCTCCGAAGACAACATCGTACATGTGCTGGCAGAATTTGCTCCATTGCTTAAGAACCTCTCAGCAGTCCTTGGGGCACGGGCCCAGGGAGACACTAAGCGTGGTCGCCGCATGACAATGCAACCAATCACTTCAAAATGTGCCACCTCGTGATACCATGTTCAACTCGAAGGAAGTTTCAGTGGAGAAGGAGGAAGTCGAGAGCCATATGTTCCCACTATCGGAACGTTACCCTTTTACTTTCAAGCTTATGCTGCACAAACTTTATGATTTAGATGAGTGGGTGGCCAAAGTCAAGAACACTTTGGAGGTGTCCAAATCGCAGTTCAAACCATTGGTGGAGAAGGTCGAGAGTGTAATGAGGGAAGCTAGGGGAAAGGAGAAGGTGATGGATTGTAAAGGGGTTACTCGAGCACAAAGTTGTGCCTCGTTAGCGACCGGGGGGAAGTCGAGGGGCTCCATTATGCCATGCAAGCATGTGAAGAGTATCACACACAATGAAGGGGACCGGGCGCTGAAGAAAAGGTGTGTGGGGAGACACAAGTCGGTCAGTGGCCTGATGGAGGCGAGTGTGTGGGTATACAATGCAGCGATCTCAGCTGTGGAGGTCAACGGACCTCGTCCCACCATGGAGATTACACTTTCAAAGACAACAAATAGGCCCTCCGGTCAAGATAGTCGTATGCGACATCAGTCATTAGCAGGGTTGGAAGGGATTCGTGCTCATGACACAGCAAGGAGAAAAGTGAGAATTGAAGTTCCTATTCCTTGCGATGAGGATCACAAGGCTGCCTATTCACCTGGGTCACCAATGCGAGACGTGGTCTCGCTCGTGGAACATTCGAAGTTTGAGAGCCTTCATGTGAAGGATATCCCAAGGAAGTGGAGAGTGATGGAGTTGGTTGACAATTTGGGGGGCGTAGTTTGGCCAAGATGGCATGGACATGGACACAGACATGTAGACCTTTCATGAGCTTGTTGGACTCTTCTTTACAGTGTATATCTTCTGTTTTATAACTTACTTCTTTGTCGTAATGCTGTGTAGATAGTACTGTAGATACGTGGGTGTGGCCCTCATGATTGTGGTTGAGAGTGAAGTTCGCATGTGTATTTAGTTACGGTCGGTTGCATGTTCAGTCCATCTGAGTCTCTGAATCACACACAACTTGTCACCGCCATCTCCTGCTCAGGTTTTCCAACTCGTTTGGTAGCTTGTAGGTCGCCCCACCTCGCCAGAAGACTCGGAATATTGGATACCATTAGGTATGTGTGCCTATACATATGTATTAGTTCAGAAGGACTTCACAGAAAGGTCTTGTCAACTGGCCCTCTGCACTTTGCACTTCTGTCCAATGGGAAGAATTGGTCGTATACGAACTTTCACTCAAGCACCACTGGCTCATCGTTTCAACAGTGTGCGCGTCTTGAACAACATAGCTAAGAAGTTGGCCCATGTAGAGAAATACTATTGGCCTGGGTAAACGAGCGTGAAGATGTACTCGATGGTCGAAAGAATGCGAAAGGACTACCTACTGAGGTTTTGGACAGCCATTCCACTGTGTCGAAATGTGAAGGTCTACAAGTTCTTGTTAGAAGCGGATCCTTTTTGGACTACCTACTCACCAGCAAGAGTTATGGTAACTAACAGGTGGTTTATTGTGGGGGCACATTGGTTCACCAGAGTGCTTGTTGGCATCCCGTTTGCATAGTCCCATGATGCCTTCTGGGGCTCTGGGCAACTCGGATTCAGACAGGATTCAAACAGGACACAGTGTGTTCACCCAGTGACCGTCAGAGCAGCACTGTTTCCTTGCTAGCTTCAGGATTGACTGATGGATCCATCCTCTGCACTCCAGGAGCTTGCTATTCAGGCGTCCCGATACAGCATCAATCTAAATGGTGAAATCAGTCTCAATCAGGGCAAGATACCTCTGTGGGGCAGTACTGCCATTGTTTACAAAGGTACTTTGACTCGGGGTGGTATGGAAGTGGCAGTCAAAACCTTCCATGGCACACCCCCTGGGGATCTAGATCCTCTCAAGGTATTGAATGAGTTCATGGAGGTTGACCTCCTTCGGATTGACCTTTCTATTGCTATTTAGCATATCCTTCGAGAGGTCCACCTTTGGTCAAAGCTCCGTCATGATAATGTTGTCCACATGATTGGGATTTCTATGGAATTCGGCTTCATGATTTCGATAGTATCTGATTGGATGTCATTGGGCGATGCCCATTCTTATGTTCAAAAGAAGGAGAATGATTCTCGCCCATTGGTGAGTCGAGGAGAGCGTTCATTTGCATAGCACTTTACATGTGTTTTTAGCTCATGGATATCGCAAGTGGCCTGTAGTACCTCCATAGCCATCCTCTGGGGCTGATATTCCATGGAGACCTGAAAGGTGTAAGTATGGTCATTCTCAGTACCTGCAGCTGATGAATCTACTTGATAGCTTAATGTACTGGTGTCCAGTGATCATCGAGCACTACTTAGTGACTTTGGTCTTTCCACCCTCCAAAAATCTACCTTCAGCATGATGGTTGTTGCTCCTCACAGAGCATCGTACCCTTGGATGGCTCTGGAGCTCCTGGATGACTACAATGCATCTACAGAAGGGGATGTGTGGGCATTTGGAATGACTGTTTTGGTATGTTTCTATATTCTTGTTCTGCAAGAAGTTCATTGTCTCTGTGATGAAGGAGTTGTTTACTCGACTAATGCCTTTCCATGATTGTCTGCATTTTGCCAATGTGATGCATAGGTTAGTGATGGGACGACTGCCGCTTCGTCCCTCTGAGGAATCCACCCTTTCCCACATGCCAGATGCATGGTGGGAAATATGCACATCGTGCTGGCAACGTGAACCTTCAGCACGTCCCTCAATGAAGGACCTGATGGAGACAGTCAAGGGAGCTATGGTCTGTGCTTGGTGCTATCAACCAATTTTTTTGTGTTCTGACTGAGTTTGCAGTACCAAGCTGGTTCTGTTTTGATGCCTCCAAAAGCCTCTCTCCCCATAGTGCCGTTCTCAAAAGATGTCATGGTCTGTCCTCTGCAATCCTGGAAAGTATTATCAGTTCTGACCCATTGCTTCAGCCACATCTGTCGCCCCTTCGAGATAATCAACCTTGGTGATCAACTTCAGTTATGCTTCACGACTTTCTACCATTGTGTACGGTGAGTACATTGAGTAAGTAAACCTACGGCACACTGCTCACACGGTGCTGGGTGCTTTTTTAGGTGCTGAAAGGGCATACTGACAAGGTTTTGTCAGTTGCCTTCTCACCTGATAGCAAACGCATCGTGTCAGGTTCTGCTGACAACACAATTTGTCTGTGGGATATGCAATCTCGCACACGAATTGGCTCTCCACTCAAAGGCCATGTGGAGTGGGTGCGGTCAGTTGCATTCTCGCCAGACGGGGAATGGGTTGTATCGGGTTCTTATGACAAGACTGTTTGTCTGTGGGGTATGCACAGGAGCATGCCAACACGCTCACCTCTCTGAGGGCACTCGTCGAAGGTCTTGTTGGTTGCATTTTCATCGGATGGGAGGATTGTGGTCTCGGGTTCTACTGACAAAACAATTCATCTATGGGATGTTTATGTCGAAGCCCCATCGGGCTTGCCATTTGAAGGACATACTGGTGCAGTGCAGTCAGTTGCAATGTCAGGAGATGGCACCAGGATCACGTCTGGTTCTCATGACAAAACCGTTCATCTGTGGGACACAGAGACTGGAGCACAGCTGGAAGATGCCCTAGAAGGCCACACTGGCATGGTTTACACAGTCGCTTTTTCGCCAGATGGTCACATGGTTGTGTCGGGTTCTGAGGACAATACTCTCTGCTTATGGGATGCACACACTGGCATAGCAGTTGGTCGTCCTCTGATAGGACACGGTGGGGCAGTGAATTCAGTTGCATTCTCACCGGATGGAATGTGGGTGGTATCAGGCTCTGTAGACACCAATGTTTTTCTGTGGGATGTTCGCACAGGTGTTCGGCTGGGCACAGCTCTGAAGGGGAATGCTGGATGGGTTCGTTCTGTTGGGTTTTCACCTTGTGCCAGGGAGATTATTGCGGGGACTGAGGACAGGAGTATCTGCCTATGGAATGCAAGGTTACACTAGGTGATCCAATGCTGTCAGAAGATAGGGTTGGAATGAGGTACATATAGTATAAGATATCTGCATGTAGAACCTTAGAATTTTGCAAGTGGCTCATTGGGCTAGTCCACAGACTAGTGAGCAGAGGGCTAGACTAACATGTTCTTCCGCTCCCCTGTTTGCAGCGTCTGCAGGTTATATGAGAAATTGGATCTCCTGTAGCATCAGTTCAGGATCGCCACCTGCCCCATCATCAATCATATCTCTGGTCACCATATTTGCTGATTACATAACTCATTATTTTATCCACTGGTAACCATCTCTTGGGAAATTTATATTTTCTCATGAAACCCATACACAACATCAATTGTTACACTTTGTGGCACCTGAGTACAATATCCAACTGGTTCACTTCACTCTTGTGCTAGGTCAAATTTGAACAACTGTGCAGGGTTGATCTTAGCAGGTATAGGGTATGATGGTGGACCAACAATGCTGAGAGGCTGAAGGAGAATCTGGGAACATGTGAGCATGACTGCTCTTGGTGTTGGAGAGCTGCCATCAGGTCATACCTGCAGGGGATGAGGTTTGGAGCAGTCCATGCCAAACGGCTCCCATCCTTCCTCTCGATGCTAGGTATTGACATATCACTATACAACCATCCCATTGGTCGCAAACACCAGAGACTTATGTATATGCTCTCTCACGTCGCCTGAATGTGATAACCCACTCTGTAGTACTGTCATCATTGAAGGAAACGACGCAGTCATCTAAATCATGACCATGTTCCTATTGACCTTGATGGTGTGGGTGTTGACCTCGTCGCCCTTTGTGATGGTAAACTAGGCGACATGCAAAGGTCAGTCAACTCATTGTGGACAGCAGAGGAATGAGAGTAACTTTGGGAGGCAGCATATCTTCATAAAAGATGACAATTGGGTAGGGAGGGAGCATGCCACCAGCCTGGTCGTCATGAAGGTATTGTTTATATTCCACAGAAGCAATGTGGTACTCGCTGTAACTGTTTTGAGTGGGAGTGGAAGACATCTTGTATGTCGTGGATAAGAGTCAAACTTTTTGACTGAGGGAGGACCGACAACTGGTTGCCTTTTTATCCTCCAGGAACTACATACCTGCAAGGATCCTTGGAAGCTTGTGTGGGCAGGTCATGCAAGTATTTTCATATGACAATATGACTCTAAAAGAGTGAGCACTGATGAAATGCTCTGTGAGTACTGGTGAAGCAGCTTCCAAGTGTAGAACGATCGAGTGACCAGAGCTTTCCACATCTACACCCCAAGTTCCAATTGGATTGCATCAGTATTATGAAAAGGACAAAGTTAGGGTGCCAACTCGGATTGCATAATTGCGGAACCCAGAGATTAGACCAAGGATTAAAATCAATTCTTCCGAGTTGGAATCCTACTAGACACATGCTCGGCACATTTATCAGTAATTTGCTCTGTTCAGATCTATCAACAGTAGGTACTGGAGTTGACCAAATTCTGCTCATATGAGATTTGGTGGTCCCATGCATGCCAAATGCATGGGAACGTACCACAGCAGTCGCATTACAGCCTCTGAGCCATCTGTGAGAATGCAGAGATAAGGACGTGTGGGCCTAAGTAGGTGACATGAATCCATCGGTTGAAATGGGCCAAGCATTGCCATGGTGTGGGCACATGCAGGTTGACATATGCTGGTGTCTCTAACTAAGAAAATGTAGTCCATATCAAACCTGTCCAAGCTGCCAGATTTGCCATTTCAGACTAGAGTGGCAGGTCACCATTGCAACTCCAAGGAACACAGGTAGCCTCATTGTGTGGTAGATAGCGAGATGATCGAGATAGTGAAATCGTCGTGCTAGCGAAGATGCTGAATGTAAACTATCGATAAATGGGTGTAAACGGCAGGTTCGAGGTTACCATATGTAGTTCAGCACAAGCCTGTCCATGGCCTGCCACATGCAGAATCAAAAACTCAACGACGAAGGTCACTCACACTAATCTCGAGGATGTTAGGATTTGTCACCCTATGTTTAACATCTTCACAGATGTAGCAAAGATCCAAAGACGAAAATTTTCTTTGTGTCAAGTGGATGGCACTGCCTACGAGTGTCTAATTGTTCATTTTGGAAATTCGGTCACCATGTTCCAGGCTCTGCGAATCTCACAAATCTACAATATGAAAAGAAGAAAGTTACGGCGCCAATTTGGATTGCAAATGTGCAAACACGAGACATGGTCGAAGATCTGAAGGGGGCATAATTCAATCCTACAAGACGCATGTTCTCCCATGAGCCAGACGGGGGGACAACTATTTAAATATCCACCTGGTACCCTGAAACGTGGTGTAGACATGAAAGGCTAAACTCACCCTCTGGGAGTACATCTTATAGACACCAACATCATAGGTTTCTGTCTGTTTGTCATGCCTGAGAGATGGTGTGGGCACGAGACTGCCAAATTTCGCACCAGTAATGGGTCAATCACAGTACCTATGATCAGGTTAATGGATCCGAGTGGAAGAACTGGCGCTCAGCAGGATTCTCCAGAGCTGAGGAATGGCAGACCGCTGATCTCCACATCAAAAACATTGCCAGATGTCCTCGGAAGCACGTGCAGACTTGGGGATATATGTACAAGAACAATCGTGTTCGACGTCATTCAAATTGGAAATTTCAGAGTGCTACCAAGGATATGGCTGACTTGACAGCAAACGTTCTTTTTATGGGTTTTGAGTTTTCTGTGCCAATGAAATTGGGTATCAAGTGTTGGACCGACTTGCCTGCCGACTCACAATTTCCCTTACCTGACTTACATAATTGCTCCCACGTATTGCACCCAAGTCTGAGGGGAGTTTTCAACGATGTGTGAAAATCAACTGTGTGCACTAATTGCTTCGCTGAAATCTTCAAACTAGCACAATCGTCTCGAGCTACGAGGCTGGCCTTTTCCTCGTATGATGTGGCACAGAATGCTGCCAGTCCTCCCTGTGGTGGGTTCTGTAAACCTTTTCCCAGTACCCTGAAGGCTGAAGCGTGTTCTAATCATTTATGGTTGAGCTCACCTTACTCTAGGAGCAATCTGAATTGGCACCCTAATTTTGTCCTTTTCAAAATTACATTTCAGAATATCATTTTAACTCCAACATAGGCAAGCTTACAACACCAACAATTGGGGGGTGTGCCACAAGCACCCAACATAAGAACTTCCTCTAGCTGGTGTGCTCAATGTGCCAAAGGGGGAATCAAGGTTATGTGAATGACACATCGGATGTCTGGCAGGAGCAGTTGTTAAAGCACAGGTTATGTGTTATAAGCATATGGGTTGTATGTGGTGGATATCCCTGGCATTACATAAGAATGTGAGGAGGAAGTCATGGAATCCAGCAACATTGGCATACCTGTTACTGGTCCACAAATCTGATATCACCATTTATTGGGTTCAGATTCACTCTCAAACACTTTCCCTGCATGTACAGAGGATATCTTCAATGTTCTTGAGTTTCCTGTTTTTGATGGTATCCTTCCAACCAAACAAAACCATGAGCAATAGGATGCCTAGCCATTGTAGATGTTAGTTCGATATGCCCTGGCTTTTCAGAGAAGAAAGAAGTGCCACACTGATTCTTACACTTAAGATGGTGGATGATCACAACACCACTAGGATGGGAAATGTGCAGAACGATAATTATGTGACTCTACATGATGGACAACCACAGTTCAAGTGGGTCGACATCAGACTGTTTTGAAGTCAGCAATGAGGTAGGGCAGAGCTTCGTGGGGTCTGCATTAGGCACCTTGTAAACAGCAGAGGTTGACCGAATATCTGTGAATCATAATGTTGGCTGTGCAACCACCGATGCCCTGGCCAACGCTGCACTGCAGTGTTCTTGAGCCATCTAGAGGCCAGCATCATCGATGGTACATTTGGGTTGTGTTTGGAGTAGAGACTGAAAGGAAACACTGCTATGGAAAGCTGGACAATCATGCTTCCATATGGCTGAAAGTTGGAACTTTTTCCAGCAGTCACGTGGACATGCAGCATGTATTTTCGAAGATACGAAGTACCATTGGTTAGGAGGACACCGGACACTGCAGTCATGCAGTTCATTTCGGTCATAGGTCACGCAGTCACACATTCATGCAGTCTGAAGGTCGTGCAGTTCATTCAGTCATAGGTCATGCAGTCATACATTCATGCAGTTTGTTTGGTCATAAGTCATGTGGTCATACAGTAGGAGGATCAGATATATCATAGCACAGATGAAGCACATTTGAGAACAAAAGGCATATTGGCAATAACCCCCCATGACGGGTTATAGAGAATGCAAGTATACTTAGCTCCAGTCATCCTCGTTATCAGCCCCCTCTTCATCAGAAAATTCTGTGACAACAATGTCAGGGCCCTCGATAACATCAGGTTCATTCTCAGCATCATCCAAGTCATCAAGGTGCCGCACTATTGGCAGAGGAATGAGGATGAAGGGGAAAAGGGCGAGAGCTAAGGACGAGCACTTGCCTTTATGATTGGATAGAGCGTTGAAAGTAGTCGGTATTTGAGTAGAGCTATTGAGGCTTGTAAACAGTAAAGTAGAGTTGACTGACTGAACTGCTTAGGGGATATGGCAAAAACCCCTTGGTTTATATACATGCAGGTATGCACACAGACCAGGTGATGCATATGGTAAGTAAAGATACTACCTACTATGTATAGTAAAGAATGTCATGGAACACCATAGAATAAGTGGAGTAAAGTGACATCATTGTGGAGTCACTTATAAAGCATGACATGATATGAGTAAGACTCATCATATAAGCAAGTCTAGAACCAGTAATGAGAAACACTGTTAACTGGTATTTCCAACACTCCCCCTCGCTCTAGAATGGTACAGTAACAAGACTGAGCAACAAGCAATTTGTTTCGAACTTCTGCCATGTGAGAGACTTGGTTAATCCATTGGCCTTTTGTTGGTCTGTTTGGATATATTCGATGGCAAATAGATCATCCTGTACACATTTGCGAACAAAGTGCCACTGGACATCAATATGCTTTGAATGACCATCTGAGACTGGATTCTCTGCTATAAAGTGAGCACCCATATTGTCACAGTAGAGAATAGTTTTCTCTAATTTTAGGTCAAGTTCATCAAAAAGCATATTTAGCCATTTGATTTGTCTGGCAGAGTTGCATAAAGCCATATACTCGGCTTCAGTTGATGAAAGCACAATAGTTTTTTGTTTGTGCAATCACCAAGAAATAAGGGAGGTGCCAAGAAACATGGCATATCTGGTAGTAGAGTGATGAGTATCCACATTGGCAGCCCAATCAGAGTCAGTGAATCTGAAGATGTGAGATTTGGTCCCAGAATAATAAAGTGCAAGTTTTGGAGTAGATGCAACATATTTTACTATGTGCAGTGCTTTTTGTTTGTGATCTTCTGTTGGATTGGCCATGTATTGCGACATGCAAATTACTGAAAAAGCAATATCTGGGTGAGTTCCCAGAGCCATATAAAGTAAAGATCCAATAATAGATTGATATTGGGAGCAAAGTGAAGAAGAAGCTTGATAGGAAGCTTCGGGTTTCTTCAGTTGGTAGCCAGATGGAAGTGGAGTGTGAACATTGTGTGCATTCTCCATTTGGAATCTTTTGATCACTTTTTTGATGTAAGGGATCTGATCCAGGTAGATCTTGTGCTTAGCACGGTTTCTGTGGATCTGAAGACCTAGGTATTCTTTGCATCCACCTAGATCTCTGGATTCCCATTTCTTCATAAACTCATCTTTCTTTGCTTTTAAGAGTTTAGGATGAGATCCTAAGAATAAACCATCGTCAACATAGACAAGGAAAATAACCATGCCTGCATTGGATTTAAAAATATAAATCCCTGCATCCACTTTGGATTGAATGAAGCCCATGCGAAGTAGGGAAGCATGTAGGGCTTTGTTCCATGCTAATGCTGCTTGCTTTAAGCCATAAAGAGCGCACAGCAACTGATAAACCTTGTGCTCTTGACCTTTAACTTTGAAGCCTTCAGGTTGT